TACTAAGTATACATTGAGGTCACCGAGATGTCTATATTGATAAGAAGTTCCTGGAACAAAGGATTCTACAGAACAACAAGTGAAGGTGGAGGAGGCGGCTTCAAAAATGAAGAAGAGAAAAATTCCTCAGTTTAAAGTCAGCCTTTTGCTGAAGCATTAGTGTGTCTATCTTTATGTCTATGCATCTGTACTTTTTAAAAAGTTTTTATTTTTAAGTAGTCTCTACACCCAACATGGTGCTTGAACTCACAACCCTGAGATCAAGAGTTGTATGCTCTACTGACTGAGCCAGCCAGGCGCCCCAACACTTGTATTTTTATAGCCGTTTCATTTTCATGTGCTGATTACCCATTTGTATCTCATCTTTGGGGAAACATCTATTCAAATCTGGTACCCATTTTTTTCATTGGGTTATGTATCTTTTTTTTTTTTTAAAGATGATACATCATGATGATTCCATTTTTTATTTTTTATTTTATTTTATTTTTTTAACTTTTATTTATTTTTGAGACAGAGAGAGACAGAGCATGAACTGGGGAGGAGCAGAGAGAGAGGGAGACACAGAATCTGAAACAGGCTCCAGGCTCTGAGCTGTCAGCACAGAGCCCGACGCGGGGCTTGAACTCACGGACCGTGAGATCATGACCTGAGCCGAAGTCGGACGCCCAACCGACCGAGCCACCCAGGCGCCCCATGATGATTCCATTTTTTAAAGTTTATTTATTTTGAGAGAGAGAGAGAGAGAGAGCGAGCGAGCGAGCAGGGGAGGGGCAGAGAGAGAGAGAGGGGGAGAGAGAATCCCAAGTAGGCTCCACGCTGTCTGTGCAGAGCCCAAAGTGGGGCTTGAACTAATCAATTGTGAGATCATGACCTGAGCTGAAACCAAGAGAGTTGGACGCTTAACCAGCTGAGCCACCCAGGCGCCCCTTGGTATCAGAGTTTTTATATAGTCCAGATACACAGACCCTTATCAGATAGAATTTGCAAATACATTATCCCATGGGAGTGTTTTCACTTTCCTGATACTATCCTTTGATGTACAAGAGTTTCAAATTATGTTCAAGTCCAATTTTTTTCCTGGTTGCTTGTGCTTTAATTTAGGTAATTATTGACTAATCCAAGGTTATGAAGACTTATACCTGTTTTCTTCTATGACTTTTGTAGGTTTGGCTGTTACATTTTGAGTTAATTTTTGTATTTGGCATGAGGTAGAGGTCCAACTTCTTTCTTTTACATTGTGGATATCCCATTGTCCCAGCACCATTTGTTGAAGACTATTCCTTCTGCATTGAGTTCTCCTGGCACTCTTGCCAAAACTCAACTGAAATATTTGGGTTTATTTCTGGACTCTGTTCCATTGATCTAAATGTCTGTCCTTATGCTACTACTGTTATCTTAACAACTTTGGATTTGTAGTTTATTTTGTATTAAAATTTTTTACAGTGAAAAAGTTTAAATTTGGCCAGTTGGACTCAGTTTAGATGATCCCAATTTTGTTGGCAATATCCAAAGCATCCTCCTAGTCAGGAGCCATTCGAACATATGCCATCTTCTCTCTGCCGGGCCTGATCAGGGTGTTGGCCTTGGCCACATCAGTGTCATAGAGCTTCTTCACAGCCTGTTTGATCTGGTGCTTGTTGGCCTTAACATCCACAATGAACACAAGTGTATTGTTGTCTTCTCTTTTCTTCATATCTGACTCAGTAGTCAGGGGGAACTTGATGATGGCATAGTGCTCAAGCTGGTTTCTCCTAGGGGGCCTCTTTCAAGGATATTTGGGCTGCCCTAGGAGACACAGTGTCTTGGGCCATAGGAATGTGGGTGACGTGCGGATCTTCTTTTTTTGTTTTAAAGTGTATTTTTTTTTAATGATCTCTACCCCCAATGTGGGGCTTGAACTTATAACCCCAAGATCAGGAGTTGCGTGCTCTTCCGATTGAGCCAGACAGGAGCCCCGGATCTTCTTCTTCTTCTTCTTCTTCTTCTTGGTGACTGTGGATGCCTCTCAGCACCACTTTCTTGGCATTCAAAGCCTGTGCTTTCAGTTCAGCTTTGGGTGGGGCAGGGGCTTCCTTCTTTGCCTTTAGCGCCATCTTCGTGAAATGTAGATTTGTAGTTTAATTTTGAAATTTGGAAGTATGAGTCCTCCAAATTTATACTTCTTTTTCTTTTTCTTTTTTTAAAGTTTTTTTTTTTTCAACTTTTATTTATTTTTTTGGGGACAGAGAGAGACAGAGCATGAATGGGGGAGGGGCAGAGAGAGAAGGAGACACAGAATCGGAAACAGGCTCCAGGCTCTGAGCCATCAGCCCAGAGCCTGACGCGGGGCTCGAACTCACGGACCGCGAGATCATGACCTGGCTGAAGTCGGACGCTTAACCGACTGCGCCACCCAGGCGCCCCTATACTTCTTTTTCAAGATTGTTTTGGCTATTTGGCTCCTTTGCATTTCCATATACAATTTAGGATCGGCATCTCAGTGTCGTCCAAGGAAAAAGAAAAAAGCCAGCAGATAATTTGGTACGGGTTGCATTGAATCTCTAGGTGGGTTTGGAGCGTAACCTTTGCCCAGCATTAGTGAGGTCTTCCCAGTCTTCTGATCCATGAACGATGTTTTTTTTTTTTTTTTTTTTTTTTTTTTTTTTTTTTTTCAGTTTTCAGTGTACAAATCTTACACCTCTTTTGTTAACTTTATTCTTAAACGTTTTATTACTTTTGATACTGGTCTATGCTCTTTAACCAGGGTGACCTCATCACGAATGTAGCATTCCAGGACACCATCCATCTGGTTGTAAAAGAAGTCTGGGGAACTTATCTTTATGATTCCTTGTTCCCTGCACCCCCTCTGCTGCCCTCCCCCCCTCAGGTTTTAGTCTGTATGTTGCATTTGCTTGGAATGGGGCCCCTGTGTCATATGTAGTTAATTTGATGCCGTCATTAGGGCTTCTCCCTATTAAGGGGGATGAATGATACGGAGAGGCTTTGGAGCTCCACAGACCTTTGACTCTGGGAAGCCATTTACTGGCTGTGCGACCTTGAGCGACTTGTCACTTTTCCTTTGTTGGGGCTGTGTGTAAGCAAGGTAAATGGAAGCGCCTGGAACGCTACTCGCCCCCATTGGGTCCACTTCCTAGACTGATGTGTTATTAACAGCCCAGAGACTTGGGCCTTTCAGCTCTTCCCAACTTTTCGTGGTGAGAATATTCAAACACAGAAACATTGAAATCAGCTTCTTGTATTCCTGATTCTGGATTCATCCTTATCTACCCCCCTAACACTGACCCTGGCCTGGGGAAGGACAGCTTTCCCCCTTCCCGCTTATTTCCGCCCCTACTCCCTCTTTACAACATTGTAGTGAAAATGATTGAACACTTCAACCCAGCTGTCCTTAGCTAGAGGCTAGTATTTACTGCTTGTAAATAGCTTAGAATTCTGAGTTATTTCCCTGTTGGGGGCTCCGATTAATCCTGGGCCCCTAGAACTAGGGAGAAAACGGGTGGGCGGGGGTCTTTCTGTAGCAGGTGTGTCCACCGTCTTCTGTAATCTGGTGTCAAGTGGACCTTGAAGCTGTTTTTCCAACAGGGTCGGATTCTTCTCTCTCCTTATTCATCCTCCACCTTTTCCATCTTCCCTCCAAGGTTGGTTTTTAAATTTTCTTTTAGTATTGCATGTATTGTAAACTGTACACCACCACACAGGGGCTCGGCCTTGGGACCCTGTGATTAAGTCGCATCTCTACCGACTGAGCCAGCCAGGCAGGCGCCCTTCCAAGATCCATTTTAAGTACTATCCTTTCCAGACTTTCCCATCAGCAGGTTTTGCCGACTTGCACCTGTTCCCTGCTTGTACCATCAACGCTTTCTACTTTTATCCCCCTTAAGCATCTTTTTTTCTTGCAGGGCTGCGTCCTGTCCTTGTGTGCCATCCTGCCTGGCACAGAACGGAGGTGCTCCAGGTGTATCTGCTGGACCACCGAGCCAAGGCAGGTAGGTGCGTGACATTTTCTGGAGTGGTCTCTGGTTAATGCTCAGCGCGTGAGTTCATCTCACATCGAGATGCTGGTTATTTTTGTTGAGACAATATAAAATAGAATAGGTGTTTGAATTAAGCTCCTCGAAGATCTTTCTTTAGTCCTTAGTGGACTGTGGTAAAGCTCTACGACAAAAACAAGGACTGCCCGATGACGCCAAAGCAGCTAACAGTATTCTGCTTTTTAAGTTTCTAATGATTTAGTTGGAGACCTCTTCATTCTGTAAACACCTAACACAATACTGGATTCATTGTTGTAATCTCTTAGGTTTCCAGATTTTATTTCCACACATTTTCCTCTCTTACATCCTCACCCCGCGTCCCCTCTCATCGACTTACTGGTTAGCAGGTAGCAAAACCAAAGTGTAACAGAGTTGGTAAGCACTTATGTCGCCCAAGGCAAGTGCTGTTTTCTCAAGGAGCTACTTCTTTTTTTTTTTTTTTCAACGTTTTTTAATTATTTTTGGGACAGAGAGAGACAGAGCATGAACGGGGGAGGGGCAGAGAGAGAGAGGGAGACACAGAATCGGAAACAGGCTCCAGGCTCCGAGCCATCAGCCCAGAGCCTGACGCGGGGCTCGAACTCACGGACCGCGAGATCGTGACCTGGCTGAAGTCGGACGCCCAACCGACTGCGCCACCCAGGCGCCCCCAAGGAGCTACTTCTGACTTAGGTATGATCCAGCTGAGGTGCTCACTCTTATCCCTGTAAGGTCCTATGTCAAGCTGTGAAAAGCTAATGAATATCAATTAAAATTGGTGAAATTGACATTTAGCTGGTATTTGGTTTTTCCCCTGAACTTTGGATAAATTTACCAAAATCTATTTGTGAATTCACTTTATGTAATAGTGTAGGAAGGCTGCAAACTAGTGCTTTTGTTTTTTCCTCTGAACCCCACGTACCAGACATTGAATCAAATCAATGTGTGCTAAGACAAAGATGTGATGGCAAGAAGTGAAACAAGGTCAGGTATCTGTCTCACACAGTTTATTTAACAATAGGTAATAAGAAATCAAATTTAACAGTCTATACAGTGATCCAAAGTTCATATTTATAAGTAATCAACTTTAATTGCATGATTTACAACAGTTGAGGGTTTTTGCTTTCTATTTTCAAGTTTTACAGAAAGTGTGTGTGTGTGTGTGTGTGTGTATGTGTGTATGTGGGGTGGGGGCAGGGTAAGGAGGAAGAAAGCAAGCAAAGAAGAAACCCCAGGGATATTTTGCATGTTAAAATCATCCCGCTGGAATCGTTTCTTACCCTCTTTTTAATTTTTTCCTTTGTTAGATGTAAAAATAACGAAAAAAATTCTTTCAAGAAACAGAACCACAATATATAATACATCAATTTGGCAGCTGCCCCTGTATATTTTGAAAAAGTCATTTTTCTCTCTACATGTACAAATTATTTTAATACTTGAAGTTTTTACGCTCAGACTTACGGAATAGAAAATTTTCTGGAGCACAAAAGTTGACTTGAGGGGAGGAAAGGAGTTTTTTTTTTTTGTTTGTTTTTTTTTTTTTTTTTACATTTTTAAAAGAATGAACATCTTTGCACCCAGAGAAAAAAAATTGGTATTTTAATATATATTTATATATATTTATATATATATAGAATGTAATTTTAAAGTAACATTAACCCCTTTTGTCCTCTGGTTTTAGAAATGTTCTAACTCTTCCATAAAGTGAGGAAAATAGGGAAAAATGTCAACCATCTGCACCAGTAAATAATAACTATTAATATTACATATTTTCATTAATTTAAAAAAAATAATAAAACCTATTGGAGGTGCAAGGCAGGAGCATATGGTTGGCTTCACGGACCTCAGCCTCCTCCCAGTGCACACTTGAACCACACACACAAGGGGGGAAAAAAAGGCTGGTGGGAAACCAGCCATAACAAAAATATATTCTTTGTATTCTATCATCCCTCAGGTTCATCTCGCATGTTTGCTTTAAACCACAAACAGCTACTGCACAGTTCTTATGTGTTCCACGGAAAATTGTCTTTTAGGCTAAGAAAGATTCAAAAAAATTGTTTTCAGTACAAAAAGTCTTGTTAAGAGAAAATAATTTTTTTGCTCCCAAAATACTACAAGGTGTCTCTAGTGTATGTCTAGTGTACTCTGTGAGAGGTTTGAATTCAAGTCTGAGTTATCGGTGCTGAGTCCCAGGTCCGTGGCGCTTGCACCATGGAGGTTTGCCATGCCTGGATTGCTAGCGAGCTGAGAAAGCATTGAACTCTGGTCCGGGCTGGCAAAATGCCCTTGTTCCATGGGGTTGGCCTGGGCAGCTACCAGTCCAGGATGTGGAGAACTGGTCTGTGGGGACACGTGGTGTGGAGAAGGCTGAGGCTGCATCCTCGGGGAAGGGCTGGAGTGGGGGGGCTGGGACTGTGGCCGCGGAGAAGGGACAGGCTGGGGTGAACGCACTTGATTGGAGAGAGAAGAAGGGATCTGCTGGCCTTGGAGGTGTGGGGACTGAGCCTGGTTTGGGAGCATATGCTGTTGGGGGCTCATGGGGTTGGGCTGAGCGGGGGACCCCATCTGTTGCTGGAGGAGTCGCTGCTGATACGCCTGCAGACTGGCTCCTGCCTCGGCTCCCAAGGCCTGGGGGAGCTGGCCCATCGGTCCCATGTTCCCTTGTTGCATCTGTTGCATGTGATGCTGCATCCGCTGCTGCTGCTGCTGCTGCGGTGGGGGGTAGCCAACTCCCTGGGGTTGCTGGAACTGGTTGTGGTTGGCCATTCCAGGGCCGATTCCGGGCCCGGCTCCCTGCTGCTGCTGCTGCTGCTGCTGCTGCATCATCTGCTGCCGTCTCAAGAGGTCTCGGAACTGTGAAGGCATGGCGTTGTGATTCATGTTCATCTGCTGAGCCTGGGGGCTCATCCCTCCCATGGGTGGCTGGAGTTGCTGCTGCGGTGGCTGCTGCTGCGGCAGGCCGGCCCTCTGGACGCCTGCCTGCATGGGGTTCATGTTCGGCATGGCCGGATTAGAGTGGACGCCCTGCTGGCCCGGCATGGTAGGTGGCTGCAGCCCCGGCTGGCCCTGGGGCATGCCAGGCTGCCCGGGGAGGGGCTGTTGGTTAGAGTTGGCATACTTGGCAGCCCGCTGCTTGATGAACGCGGCCAACAGCTGGGGGTTGGCGTGAAGGATACTAAGCACCTGTTGCTGCTGTAGGGGAGAGCTGGGAGACCTGAGAGTCCGCAAAAGGTTTTGTAAGGCTTGTTGAGACACAGTGCCTGGTTTGAGAGGGCTCACGCCTACCTGGCCCAGTCCCGGTTGGGGAGCCATATTCAAGGGCTGACCGTGCTGGGCCACTGACATCATGGCCGGCCTTGGCATCCCGGGCTGTAGTTGCTGGGGTTGAGGCAAGCCTCCTTGGGCCCACGGCGGCTGTTGCTGCATGCCCGCGGGCCCCATCCCTGGCTCCAAATGCCCACTGGGACCTCTGGCCATGGGGGGTGGGTTCATACCCATGGGGGCCATCGGAGTCATCTGGGGCATCTGGTGCTGGATTGGTCTCTGAAAAATTTGCACGTGGGCCATCTGGCGCTGCGTCTCAGCCGCCCTCTGAATCTGCATTGCCATTTCCACTGCCGCAGGTGGGGGCCCCGGAAGGGGTGGCTGAGCAGTCTGAGGGGGGGTCGGAGGGGTCACCTGGCCCGCCGCCTTACCCTGGGAGACAGGGCCAGGAGCCTGAGTCCTAGGCAAGTAGGGTGGCATGCTGTTGGGAGGGGTAGGCTGGGGCTGAGAGGGGGGCTGGGGCTGGGGCGTCTGCGGGGTGGTGGGCTGCTGGCCGGTGGGCGTGGTGGGCGTGGCGGGAGTCGGGGAGGGCAGGCCTTGTTGCTGCCCCACCACGCCGGTCCGCTGCATGCTGGCCATCCTCCTGCGGAGCATCTGGGCCTGCTGCAGCCGGTGCTGCAGCTGCTGCTGCCGGAGCTTTTGCTTGATGTTGAGGCAGAAGGGCACCGGGCACTTGTTCTCCTGGCAGTGCTTGGCATGGTAGCAGCACAGGGCGATGAGCTGCTTGCAGATGGGGCAGCCTCCATTGGTTTTCCGCTTGCAGCCCTTGGTGTGCTGCACGACCCGCTTCATCTTCTGGCAGGACGGCAGCGAGCAGTTGGCGTTGCGGCACTGGCAGGCGTGCACCAGGGACTGGATGCAGCGCTGGATGCTCAGGCGGCGAGAGTCTCCTGGGCTCTGGGTGGCCGCGGCCTGCTGGCTGTTGCTCTCATCATCTAGGCCGAGACCTAGTTTCTCCATTTTGTGGTCATGGTTTTTAGTGTTATAGCAGGTGATACACAAATCGTAATCCTGGGGGAGAAACGGGCACAGTCAACTCTCCAAGATTTAAGTCATTCAGAAACATTGCATGTATTCTGCTGGGGTCCCAAAGGCCCCTTTGAGAAAGACTCTTCAGCTCTACCATGAAAATCTAAGAAGCAGGCCCGTCCCACTCTGCGCTACTTTTCACCCCTGGCACCGAGCGCAGACCTGTGTGACATCTGTAGGCACTGCCTCTCAGGAACCCAGAACACCCCAGCACCCTCTGCTCCCCACCCCTGGGGCCTACCTCGCACACGGTGCAGTGCCAGCGCGTCTCCACGTGGTGCTTGCACTCGTTGCACGTGTAGACAAAGCGGTCCTGGCTCTGGGTGTGCAGCTCCACCAGCATACACATGGTGGACCACTGGGCTCTGCGCAGTGAAGAGAACTCCAGGTGCTTGTCCCTTGCGAGGGTGAGGAAGGCATCCCGCCCATCCATCAGATCGCAGGGGATGAGGGGGTCAGGGTCAACAATGGGAGGCAGGGAGTTGGCGGCAGGGCCGGCGATGAGACGGATCACAAAGAAGACCTGTGAAGCAGACAACCTCGGTCTGACTCTGGAACAAGAGCGCTGCGTGGCACCAGGCCAATGGCAGCAAACAGGTGAGTCGAGCTGAATGCCCGTGAGGCCGGGGCCACTGGAAGAGCTTACAATCACACAAGGTCCCACGATATAGCCCTTGCTTTCTCCTGCTCACAAGCCTCTCGTCTCTTCTCTGAGAACAACTACAATGGGCCTGAAATCGACAGCTTGTTACCTTCTCGTTAATAATCCCTTCAAAACAAGAAGGGTCTGGGGCAAGCACAGTGCGTGGACAGTGCACATTTTGCCCCAAAGTGGTCTACTCTAAGACCGAATCCATGGTTGGACCTGAATCAAGAGGGAACAAGTCAGACAAATCCAAATTGAGGGACATCCTACGAAACACTTTTTGGCCTTGACTTACAACAAACGGCCATGTTATGAAACAAAAGAAAGCCAGGAACCGAGACGTGGCAGCTCAACCTGACACACAATCCTTAACTGGAGCGGAAGGGCCAGACATTAGATGGTGGCACTGGGGGAAGTCTCCTGAGCGTGAAGCCACAGTGTGGTTAAGCAAAGGAGGTCTTCTTCCTTAGCTTGAATGGGATAAAGAAAAGATGTAGCAAAACACGAACAATTGGTGAATCTCAGCGAGGGCTATGGCAGGGGGTCCACTATGCAACTCTCCGCAAGTTTGAAATGTTAAAAAGTTGGTGGGGATGGGAAAGAGAAAACAAAACAAAACAAAACCTTCTTAGCTCTTGCTGCAGAAACAGCAAAAGTTTTGTTCATTAAATTCTGAAAGGACCCAATCACCATGAACTACTATAACCATTAGTGTAAAGGCTGCAACAGGAAGCTGATATTGTAGGTCTATTTTACATTAACTAGTCTCTAAATGTGAAACCTCATTACACTGAAAAATGTACCTTTAAGAGATCAGGACCTTGTGAGCAACTGTGGTACTGGACACTATATTCTACCAGTTTCCCAGAGACCAGCGAACTGGCAGTAACACTTGTAATATACTTGGGTAGCAGTGTTTGCATAAAACAAGAGCCTTAAGACACATTTCCAGAAAAAGAACATACAGCAAGAGAGCACACTTAGTAGAGACACATCTCAAACAGATGCCAAAAGTTAAAAGCATCAAAGAACCTTGACGTGTGCTAGACCTTGTAATATTGTGGCTCAAAGAAAGCATTCAAAGCGAGGAAGAGCATTTTGAAAATGTGACGCACAGGAAAGCATTGAATCTAACAAGTGGGGAATGCCTATAATAAATCACTCAAAACAGAGGCAAATAAAATCATCTGGTGACTCCCTTGGAAATCTTTACTATGGCCAACCTTCCAGTAACGATCATGATTACTTCCATTGTATGTTACCCTCCAGCTAAGACAACAAACCCAAGTTGACAACCTCAGACTCTAATTCCCACTATTTACATCTTCAGAGTAAATAAAATCATAGACCACATCCACAACTTAAGTCAAACGTATTACAATGTACTCTAAGGGTACTTCCCAACTATTCTGTTATGCTAGAATCTTGTGACACAAAATATTGCTTGAAATAGTAACTATTAATGGTTGAGAATATCAAATGAGGCACCCACTAGAACTCAGAAGTCCTGATGGTTACAAACAGAGTTGGACAGGGGGGTGCCTGGGTGGCTCAGTTGGTTAAGTGTCCGACTTCAGCTCAGGTCATGATCTCATAGTTCCTGAGTTTGAGTCCTATGTCGGGCTCTCTGCTGTCATCACAGAGCCCACTTCAGATCCTCTGTCTCCACCCTCTCTTTGCCCCTCTCCCACTCATGCTCTCTCTCAAAAACAAACAAACGAACAAAAAAACCCCAGACAGGCTATGCTTATGCTTTTTTTTTTTTTTTTTTAAAATTTTTTTTTTAAATTTTTTTTTCTTTTCAAACGTTTATTTATTTTTGGGACAGAGAGAGACAGAGCATAAACGGGCAAGGGGCAGAGAGAGAGGGAGACACAGAATCGGAAACAGGCTCCAGGCTCCGAGCCATCAGCCCAGAGCCCGACGCGGGGCTCGAACTTACAGACCGTGAGATCGTGACCTGGCTGAAGTCGGACGCTTAACCGACTGCGCCACCCAGGCGCCCCAAGCTTATGCTTTTAATGTATGAAGCACGATCCAAAGCCATCAAGATTTCTAACACAGCTGCAAATCAAAGCATCCGTATCACTTCCTGTTCTTACCTCCTATTCTAGCTAGCCTCTTTTCTTCCTTCTTACTCCTCGGATGATTTCTTTCTTCTGAATTTTAAATGGTCTGTTGTGCTCGTGTTTAATGCCAACCATGGTAGGCAGTGTTTCAGAACCCCTGACCTGCTTTTCCTCCCAAAATGGCCACACCTTACCTCTTTGTGTTTTTCCATTGTGGCATACAGCTTCTGCGAGAGGTCGTTGGACACATTGGGCATGCCTGGCTTCTTCTTGTTGCCCCTACTGAGGCTGCTCTTGTTTTTGCTGGTTTTCTTATTATTTTTCTTTTTAGCATTTTTGCTGTCTCCCTTTGTCACCTGCAGGTTAACAGAGGGGACAAGAAAATGTTAACATTTTTGTTAAGAAGTGATTTGAATAATACTAACGGTAGAAGGATCCTCCTTTTCTTTGACACTAGAGATTCTAATCTTATGCCTTCTGCCAACTTTTACACGTACCCTATTTTTTAAGCTGTTACTTACGGTGAACTAAAGTTTACTAAAGTTTTTGTACTAATTTTCTCCCAGTGAAGAATCCCTACACTAAGATCCCTCAATAAGGCAATGGCAGTCTTAGCTTTTTGACAAGAGCCTCACAGTTTGTGGAGACTCCTGAGATCTATCCATCCTATTCCAGAATTGAGGACAGGGAACAAGGAGTAGCAGTGTGGGATACTGAAGAATACACTGGAAGCAGGGAACCAAACACCTTGGTTTCATTTCCTTCCACTCACATTCTAGAATTTTATGAGTCTACTGTAAAAAATAAAACAACAGCTTGAAAAGACAACTCAAACTACAAGGCTATGAAGAGTTCAACAGGCTAAAGGGTGACTTTAGTAGTTTGGACTCAACGAAGACCATTCTAGCTACGCTATGGAGAAATAACTGACCAGGAAAATCTCAGATGGTCCTCTGACAAAAGCCAGGTCGTGTATGGACGACTGGCAAACTCTGGCCCAGGCCTGTTTTCATATGGCTAAGAACGGTATGTACATGTATAAAGTAGTGTTAAAAAAAAAAAAAAAAGCCCCAAATATTCACGATCAGGATCTTTACAGGAAGTACTTTGCCACCCCCTGTTCTATATAGGTGATTCTTCTATCAGTTTTTCAGGGTTTCCTTCCTTCTGTTTTCCATTACCAGAAATCCAAAGTTCCATTTTAAAAGGGGGGGGAGGGCAACATCTGATGTTAAAAAGGTTTAAAACCATGGAAAGAGAACATTAGTAACTTATCGAAGCCAATTATTTCTTGACCAGTTTAAGGAGCTCTTTCACACCTGAGAGCTTTAGACCTAGTCAAAACTTGAAGCCTGCTCCTGATTACCCATGAGAATCAAGGCAGAAGCTGGAAAGAAAATGCAAAGCCCTTACATCTGTGCTTTCGTTGCTGGTGTTTTCTTCTCTCTTTCTCTCTTCCTCCTCCTGTTCCAGTTCTTTAATGCTCTCTTCCAGAACATTGGGCCAGAAATCACCCTCAAAGTAAGGCAACTCCTTTGCACTTGTTAATCGATCTTCAGTAGCTTGTTTAAAAATATCCTGTGAAAATACCCAGGTACAAATAGTTTTTTTTAAAAAAAGCATTTACCATACAAAAACAGTCATAGCTAATGGACACAAGAAACATGAAAGATTAAAATGTCATCTGAAAGAAAGGTGGCAGAGATTTTATACCTAAGCCCCATGGCCCGAGGAGACATTCAGTCATAAACAATGAAAAATCATGGTCTGCAGTCAGTATTTCTGGTTTTGTCTTTCCTCTTTGCCTGTGAGGACAGGGAGATTTACCTGCCTTTATACAAAGTAGGAAATTATCCTGCTAGGACCAATGGCAGAGGCAGAGGCATCATCAATCACACTGTGGCCTTTACTACTCCTGATAACACAAGACACTGTAATGTGAGGAATGCCTGCCTTATACCCATCCCCCACCTCCTGAGAAATGTGTTCAAAACAACCTAAACTACAAATACTGGAAACTGCATGGCTACAGACCCGCTCTCTATGCTGCTCGGGAAACAACCAGTTGGTGCTTTTCTCCCCAGGAGTTAACAACAGATAAGAAACTTATCTGTTCAAGTTCTTATCGTGAGATGCTCTCTAATCATGAATGGCTAAAATACATTTCTCGTCACATCTTTAAAAGAGATTTGTTGATCTAAGTCTCTTTTAAAACAGTTTTTCTTGCTTTGAAAAAGGGAGAACAAACAGAAGATTTTTGTTAAGATAGTCAAATGACAGAATACAGAGCAGCAGGATTAGTAAATTTCCAGTTCTGTCATCGCCCCTCACTCCTCCTGACCTTGTAGTCATGGACGATTCGCTCAGACACGGCCTTGTCAAGCATCTTTTTATACCACTCCTGCAGTCGCTTGGGCTTCGGTATCTTCTGGTCAGGAGGATGGCAATGGAAGATATAGTCATCTCCCTCGCTCGGGGGACATGCCCATATATGCCCTGTTGTATATCTATCAACACAAATGGAATATTCAAGAGAAAAATTTATCATCCATTCCAGAAAGAATGCTACAAGATGGAGTCAGTACAGAAACCAATGATTTTTTTTTTTTTTACAAGATAATACAAAAGTGTACAATTTAGCATCAGACCAAAATTCTTAGGCCAGAACCAGGCATAACCCTGGATCTAAAAACCCCCCAAAAAAGACCCCCAAAAAGCTGCATTTGAAGACTCAAAAACTACAATGCAAAGGAATATGGGTCCATTCCAACAAGAGAGCTAAACGAGATGCAAAATGTTAAGAGTAATAACTTGCAAGGTGAAGTGGTGAATATTCTTAAGCACACATACATATACTTGAAGGTAAGGAACCAGTCTGATGTATGTATCTCCCGACCTTAGTCTGTTTTTGGTTCTGAAACCCAGGTTTCAGAGATCAACTGCTGCTTTAAGATTCTGGCCTTAAGTAACAATCAACCTTCCAATCAAACTGTACCCAACAGCTTATCTGAACTAAATAAAACCAATCTGGGACAAGTACAACTAGGGTCAAAATATCCCTTACTGTCAGACTGGCAGCACTGAGAAAAGGGGCCAAAAAGTCACATATCTGTACGTTTTAACTTAGGTCTTACCACAACACAGTGATTAGTTTAAAGCCTAGTTAGTTTAAGCTAATTGCTTTTAAAAAATAGCATTTATCAGGGTGCCTGGGTGGCTGAGTTGGTTAAGTGTCTGACTTTGGCTGAGATCAGGATCTTGCGGATTTTGAGTTCTACCCTGCATCAGGCTTTGTGCTGTAAGTGCGAAGCCTTCATCGGATCCTCTGTCTCCCTCTCTTTTTGCCCCTTCGCTGTTCACGCACTCTCAAAAATAAATGATCAAAAAAGAAAAAAACAAAAAAAACCACAAGAAAGTAAAAATAGTATTGATCAATATTCTTACCCTAATTTCTTGACGTATTCTAAATATCCAATTAGAATTTCATGATACACTGCGGTCCTCAAGCATTTAGGACGGAAGAAATGAACACTGTCGAGGTATGATATGTAAACTCTCCTATACGAAGTGGGGAGAAAGAAACCAAGTCAAGAAACCAACTCCTTATGTGACTTGTGACATTATATTTTCTCTCTTCTGTTTTTTTTTTTTTTTTTTTTTTTTACCTCATTTGTAATGCACATCACGTAGTCACAGATAAATGACTAGACTGTGAACACTTCAGGGGAGTTTCATGAGCCTATGGCTCTATTCTAATCTCAGTGCCCAGTAGAGCCTGAAGCAGAGTATATGAATCAGTATTTATGGATCCAAATGTATTCTGGCAGTGTTCTTATTCTGGCCTTTATACTATTTTGGAAACAAGAAATTCAAAACCATATCCTAACTTTTTTTGTGTGACATTCTTTCATATACCTCTCAGGCAAGGTGCTTGTTAACACAATCTAGATTTAAGCCCACTGCTTCCCACTTCTGATTTGAGGCTGTTGTTCATATCCCCTTCCTGATATACTAAGGCCACAGAAGAGTGTTACTGAGCAGTGAGAATCCACATTTCCATTTCCAAACCAAGTACATCAGTTTCCTGCCCATGATGCTTTTTGCCTATTAAACTTCAAACTCCCATTTAAATTGGAAGGCAGATGTTTAATTCCTACCTCTGGTTGGGCGGAGGGCAGTCAGAGCCATACTCTTGAACGTGCATGCCAAAGAAACATAAGTCAACACCGTCTATCTCTTCAAAGGCAAAGAGGGCTTTGGTTCGGTATGGAAAGGATTCTGCCATCTCTCCACTATCTACAAACCTACACAATTCAGATTAGAGGGAAAAACCACAACACCTCATTCAGATCAGAATCATCAGCAGTGACTGTATAAGCATTTGCAGAACCATAGGAGAAGAAAAGGGAACATTACTAGATACCTTGCTTTCATGCCTGGTTTGACTTCCACAGTTTTGTCAGAAGCATGAACTACCCGAACAGTGACCTCTCCTGACTCAGGGTGATTTTGTCGCCTAAGAAAGTCATTCACACGATTCTCCAGAAAGGTGCCAAGCCTGGTAGATGGCAACCCTAGGAATGGAGAAGTGAAAAGTTCAGTTGTAACCACAGTGCAAATTTATTTCTATCAAGTCTTAGACTTCAATATCAAATATCCTTTCTGTTTTGGTATAAATAGGATAAACTTTTATTAAAAGCTAGCAATGTGGGGGTTCCTGGGTGGCCTGGTCGGTTAAGTGTCTGACTTTGGCTCAGGTCATGATCTCATGGTTCATGACTTCGAGCCCTGTGTCAGGCTCAGTGATGACAGCTCAGAGCCTGGAGCCTGCTTCAGATTCTGTGTCTCCCCTGCTCTCTCAAAAATAAACATTACAAAAATTAAAACAAAAACCAAAAAACAATGTGGTCAATACTTGAAAACAATTTTTAAAAAAATATGGACTATTCCACAAATTTGTGTACCAACCTTGCACAGGAGCAATGCAAATCTTTATTATCATTCCAATTTTAGCATAGATTTTAGTATAGGTGAGGCAGGCATGGTAGCTAATACTTAAAAAAAAAAAAAATTTTTTTTAAATGTTTATTTATTTTTTGAGAGAGAGAGCGAGTGAGCGAGAGCACACGCATGAGTGGGGGAGGAGTAGAGAGAGAGGGAGACACAGAATCCGAAACAGGCTCCAGGTTCTGAGCTGTCAGCACAGAGCCCGACACGGGGCTGGAACTCACAAACTGCGAGATCATGACCTGAGCCGAAGCCGGACGCTCAACAGACTGAGCCACCCAGGCGCCCTGGTAGCCAATACTTTTTAAATGTTCTCCCCTAACCTTTTAGTTGGGAAAATTTCCAATCTCAGATGTTAAAACAAAGAACATCCATATGTACTTTCCCTTGACTGTAGTAATATTTAAAAATAACAATGGCTGGGTATTGGGAAAAACCTTGCAGGAGTAAAAGCAACCTGTAGGTCAGCAAAAATTTGCAAAGGCATCTACAAAATTAAATCAAATACTATCGCGAGATAACACCAGCTGTATGATACAATCTTTGACTACCACTCTCCCAAATCCCCAATCAAGATTATAAAAGAAGCCCCAACTAATGGTATGGATAAAACTGAGGTAATGACTCATGGGATGGCAACTCTGGACAAATATTTCCACATGTGGCCCCTGTTAAGAAATGCCCCAAAATGAAGAAATGTAGGAAAAAGAAAAACATGTATCCAGCGCACCTGGGTAGCTCAGTCAGTTGAACATCCGAATCTTGATTTTGGCTCAGGCCACGATCTCACGTTTTGTGGGATTGAGCCCTGTGTCAGATTCTCTCTCTCCCTTTCTGTCTGCCCCCCTACCCCCAGAGGTCTCCCTCCCTCCAAGAAACATTAACAAACAAACAAACAAACAAACAAGAAAACCACATATCCTCCACATGTACAATTTTTTCCCTTAAGTCTAATAAATTTCTCTAATGTTTATTTAAACATTTAAATAACGTTTATTGGGGGGCCTGGGTGGCTCAGTCGGTTAAGCAGCCGACTTCAGCTCAGGTATGATCTCTTGGTCCGTGAGTTCGAGCCCCACATCGGGCTCTGTGCTGACAGCTCAGAGCCTGGAGCCTGTTTCAGATTCTGTGTCTCCCTCTCTCTGACCCTCCCCTGTTCATGCTCTGTCTCTCCCTGTCTCAAAAATAAATAAAACGTTAAAAAAATTTTTTTAAGTAATGTTTATTATTATCATGTGCACTATCAGCACAGAGTCTGATGCAGGGCTTGAATTCACAAACCATGAGATCATGACCTGATCCGAAGTCAGAAGCTTAACTGACTGAGCCATCCAGGAGCCCCAGGTCTAATGAATTTTACACCACAAAGTACATTTACTATTTACCTTTAGGTAGATTATAGAAAAAATTTTGGGTTCTGGTTCTGACTTTGCTTAATTAAATATTTTAAATAAGGTTGAAGGAAGAAAATTCATTTTGGATGGTTTATTCTTTCTTTCCTTCCTTCCTATGTATCTATGTTCGTTCTATCTATCTATCTATCTATCTATCTATCTATCTATCTATCTATCAGTTCTTTATCTACCTACCTACCTACCTACCTACCTACCTACCTATCTTTAAGTTATCTCTATACCCAACAAGGGGCTTGAACTCATGACCAGAGATCAAGAGTCACATGCTCTTCCAACTGAACCAGCCAGGTGCCCCTTGGATGGTTATTTTTAACTATGCTTCAGTGAAGTATTGCCAAGATTTACTTGTAAGAATGAAACTTACTTTTAGCAGAAAATTTATTCTCTTTCCTGGTTCGTGCAGATTTCTTTAAACAGCCATCGCAGACAAATCTAAAACGTAAACCAGAACTTTGCTTACACAGCTTAGAGAAACACTTAAAGTAACATATGCCACAAAATTTACCATATATATGTACCAAGTTAAATCCAAAAGACAACCTGAGAAAAACATTTCTAAATATTTAACGAGTTAATCTAATTAATATACAAAGAGCATTATGAAGAAATCACTAAAAGAAAAAAAAAGTATAAAAAACCATAATTGAAAAACATGCAAAAAACCATGAGGAAATGTTAAGCATATAAACATATAAGCATATAAACTGGTTGACATGTGACAAGATGATGGATTACAGATGAAAACAAGAATTTGTTTGGCCAATCACATTAGCAAAAATCCAAATGCCTACTGGCAGGAATGTAAATAAGTACACTTTGAGAGGAGTACCAGTAGATTTATTTATATGTATCTATATATCTCTATCTACGTATCTATGCAGGGCTTGAACTCATAACCCTGAGATCAAGAGTCAGACATTTAACAGACTGAGCCACCCAGGAGCCCCAGTACCAACAGATTTAGAAGGTACACTCTTTGTCCGAATTATTTAAGGATGTGTGCGTAAGTAGAATTTCTTACAAAAACCTGAGAACATACAAGCGTTCATTAACCAGTAAATCGCAAGAAGCACTGCAAGTCTCTCAACTATTCCTACCTACTCTGTAATTAAGGAGAACAGGAAAAAGGCATATCTAAAGACAAGCCATATACACATCAAATGACTGTGATTTTCCCTGTGTGTTACTTTTGAGAAATGTGTAGATTAGCTGCCTCTTTTCTGTGACCTCCAAACCAGCATCAACAAAGCGTAGAGCAGTGCAGACATCCCATCTTTAAGTTTTTATTATTCATTTAAGTAATCTCTATCCCAATATAGGGCTCGAACTTGTGACCCTGAGATCAAGAGTCACATGCTCTTCTGACTGAGCCAGCCAGGCACCCCTAGATCTCATCTGAATGAGTCACTTCATGCATAGACACTCCCACCCTTGGAACAGAGCTGGGATCAGCTCCCATTCCTGGAGAGTAACAGGAGACCCAGAGTAGCAGACAAGTGTCAGAATGGACAAAAATCCACTCATTGCTGACAAAGTCTTTGATAATATGAAGCTTGAGTAAATACATGGAGAATATTCAGAAACAGAACATGGGGCTAAAGAATAGCTTGTTTATTAAAGTCTGTACCTAGTCATTTTTATGAAAATGTCTTCACTGGACGATAGCCATGAAACTTACTGTCCAACCCCCAAAACATCAAATCCTAACCAGCATCACCATTTAGCGTATCATTTACAGCATGACATTTTCTCAGAGGTAACAACAGAGCTGCCCCATCGACACCCTCCAGATCTTCCCATTTTTCTACTGTTGCCAGTATAAGTAGCGTTCAAAACCTGGCAACTTTAATTGCTTCTAACACACCCCTTTGCTAGTTTTCAGGTGCTAGAGATTTCTTATCTCTACTGATTTTTCAAAAACATTTATTTTTGATATAAATTCTTTACAAGAGAACTTTAAAAACCAACAGAGTAAAATATCTGTATTTGGATTAAAGCAATGCATGCAAATTAAAAGACCTATATTTTTGGATTCTAGCTTACTATATGTTTTAAAAGTGAATTTTAATTATCTCTTCCCATTCCCACTGCAAAACCAAAAACTTGCTAAAATGCACAATGAAAAGTAACTCTAGAAAAAATACTGCCATCTCACCCAGATGGCCAAATGATTTCATGATGAAGGACACAGATCTGATGCATCTTTCTTCCACACTCTGTACATTCAACAAACCTGAAAATGAAAAGCCAAAAAGTCAAGATGAAATCCAAAACTTTAACCAAATCAAGATTTCCCAACATTTCCCTTGATTTCTGAACAATTCAAAAGATAGCCAAACATCACATTCAAAGAAATGAATAGCTATTTTTTTAAAAAGGTTTTTAGTTTTTTTAAAAAAAAAAAATTTTTTTTTCAACGTTTATTTATTTTTGGGACAGAGAGAGACAGAGCATGAACGGGGGAGGGGCAGAGAGAGAGAGGAAGACACAGAATCGGAAACAGGCTCCAGGCTCTGAGCCATCAGCCCAGAGCCTGACACGGGGCTCGAACTCACGGACCGCGAGATCGTGACCTGGCTGAAGTCGGACGCTTAACCGACTGCGCCACCCAGGCGCCCCAAAAGGTTTTTAGTTTTTAAAGGCTCTTTAATATTAACAGGCAGAACAAATTCAAAAGCAATTAAGTTAAGCTACCAAATGGGAAAATTTTTTTAATTGTTTAGATTTTATTTTTAAGTAATCTCTACACCTAACATGGGGCTCAAACTCACAACCCTGGGATCAAGAGTTGCACGCTCTACCGACTGAGCCAGCCCGGTGCCCCTGAATGTGACCATTTTAAATGGACTGTGGGTATTCAGTAATAAGTGAAAGCTCACTGCTGCTTTTTTAAACTTCCAAAGAAGTCTGACACCATCCTACCCATTTTAGGAGTGCCCAGAGTACTGGCACAGTTCAGTGCTCTGAATGGCCTGGCTACAAAGTAGGGGAGCATGAAGACGTTTGAAAATGCACCAGGAAACAGGGACAGAACACAGGACACCGAGCAGAGGTGTGCTGTGGCTTCACATGGGCCCATAAAGCACCAAACTATCAGTTGGATTTAGTGAAATCTAAACGAATATGGACTATAAAGCAAACTTCCACCTTTCTACCATCTATGCTGCACGTATGTTATGTACAGGTATCTTCAGGATATAGAACCATCTCACTGCCTCTGCAAACCAAGAGAACGAAGGAAGGAACACCAAAGTGTACTGATTATTCAAGGGAATTACTTACAGTTCAGGATCCAGTGTGTCATTTTTTCTCTTGGAAAATTGTTCTTTATTTATTGTACTAAGGAGAAAAGAGGGACACAATGAGCAAAAGTGATATGGAGAGAGAAGCAGTCTGACCACTATTCTAACCAAAGGAACAAATCTTGTAAACGAATTATACTTCTAAGAAAATACTGAGAATATCATTAAACAGGTACGTTCTTGGCTCCCACAAAACGTACAATAATATAAAGGAATGCCTTTGTTTTTAGAAAGGAATTTATAGTAAATCTATTTCCCCTTATAGGAAATGGAGAACCCAGGAACTCAACAACTGGAAACATGAGTCTGTTCTTTTCTTTCTGGAGAATTTTAATATATATTAAATATTATAACTTATTTATATATGTAATTTTATATTTATGTGTATGCATATATGTACTCATTTATTTTGAGAACAAGCGAGGAGGGGAGGGGCAGAAAGAGAGGGGCAGAGGGAGAGAGAGAGAGATATGGAGGGAGGGAGGGAGAGGAAGAGGGAGAGGGAGAGGGGGACAGAGAGAGAGTGAAAATCCTAAGCAAGCTCCGCACCATCAGCGCAGAGCCTGACACGGGGCTTGAACTCATGAACTGGGATATCATGACGTGAGCCGAAATCAAGAGTTGGATGCTTAACTGACTGAGCCACCCAGGCACCCCTCTTCTTTTCCTTTTTAAATCTTGTCTACTACTCTTAACATCAGGTGTTTATACCTTTTTTTTTTCTTTTTTAAAGATTTTATTTTTAAGTAATCTCTACAGCCAATGTGGGCTTGAATTCACAACACTGAGATCAAGAGTCACATAACTCCACTGACTGAGCCAGCCAGGTTTCCCTAGTATTTGTATCATTTAATAGTTGAATGTTCCTAGACTGAGCTATGAAAGATGGTGTATATGGAAGAAGCTAAACCACTAAAATTAATACTCTAGTCAAACAACTTTTTATATAAATAAAAAAAGCCTCAATATTAAGAATACCTATTTCAGGTTATTTACAGTTACCCAGAAAGGGTAATTTTAAAGGGTAAAAATTCTTCATTTTATAGTATTTAAGACTTTCACATGGCCTCCTATCCTGAAATCTAGCATACCACACAACTCCTAGCCCCACAAATACAGACGCTAACAGTCTTATTCCTTCTCCACCTAGAATAAACTTCAGGAGGCCCAACTGTGACTACTGCAACTCCCCTTCACAAAAATGAGGACATCTCCACCTTCAAACCGTTTCCTACTGGTTATGGTTCTAGACATTATTCTCTAAATGACCAAAGGCACTGCAACTCAAAGTGTGTTCTAAAGACCAGCAGCGCAGAAAGACCCAGAAGCTTGTCAACAATGCAGCCTCTCAGGCCCACTACAGACCTGCAGAATCGGATGGGGGTTTCTATAGTCTTCAGTGTAAGAGATGCACTGTCCTAAGGTTTAGGACATGTGGGAAGTCACTCAACTGTACCGGTAAGGCTGCCTTCCTTTCCACATCAGGGAAACCTAGTTAAGAGCTGTCAGCCTAATTCAATTCACCCAAGGGTCAGAAAATTTCCTTAAGGCTAGACTCTACCACATCATATTTCAATAGTAACTGAAGGAAAAGTGCATCAAGACTTAATTTGGAAAAGCGAACCAGTTTTTCCTCAGAAGCCCTATATTAACTAGTAATATAACAATTCCTCACTTTTTGGAATGTTCTGAACCGCTTCTGCTTATTATAGGTTAAACCAGGAAAGAAGGAACCCAAGAATATTAAAAGCACACTAACTACATCTTAGCAATCAGAAGAACTATTAACTAATTTAGCCTACATCTGAAATTTGTCCTGGAATTTAGCAAGAGCTTGTGAGACTGCAAACACCCAACCAGTCTCTCTCGTCTAGGTCACTCTAATAAATGGCTATGTGATGAAGGCTGTAAGGTAGTTATTTGTTCAATTCCCGCAAACTTAAACCCGTTAATAATAAAGTTCTCTTGCACTACAGTCTTCCAGTTTTTAGGCAAAAAGCTCATTGTTTCCTTATAAAGAGAGATCGAAATGACCATCCAGTGTTGATATATTTCCTAGATTAGGGTTGACAGAACTTTCTGCTGTGACGGAAATGTTCTCTATCTGTGCTGACCAACATGGCAGCCACTAACCACAAATGTCTGTTTAGTTTAGCACTTGCAGCGTGAGTATAATGTTTTATTTCCTTTTCATTAATTTGTATTTAAATAGCAAACCGGCTAACGGCTACTACACAGGCCGTGTAACTCAAGACCACTTAAAAAAGCTTTAGCATCAGCACTTGACAACACACCAAGACAGCACTTCCCAAAATAATGCAGGTACTTACGTTTGAGGCTGGGAAGGGTCATCCCCCAAAGAAACGCTCTCCCCTTGGATTTCATTGAAACACTTCTCACAGAAATGATACCTGTCGGCAAGAAGGCCATACTGGGGTGAACTGTTCCGTTCACACAACACAGCCCAAGCCAAGCAACGAAGCCACCAATCACAGCAGGCCAAGGAGGGGGACGGGAGCAGAGAGCAGGTCATCAACGGCGACAAGGACATTCAATGATGCAGATTTATGGGCCCCACAGTTTGGGTTTTTTTGTTTTTGTTTTTGTTTTTTTGTTTTTGTTTTTTGTTTTTTTTGCAATCAAAGCCAAGTGCAGACAACGACAAGCATGAGGGAGAAAAAAAAAACACAAAACAAACGAAGAAATGAGGGATTGCAGGACAACAAAAAACATAAAAGCAAGACAAGACAACACAAAGCAGAAAGCCAAGGCAAAGCACAGATTAGCATTAAATATCTCAAATGGGATCACAAGCAGCAAATGATTACAGCAAATAAAACAAAAAAGTATCACTTACACAGACCTACATTCTTTCATTTTAGTAATTAATGCTATTTGATGCAAATAATCAAAAAGGGGAAGGATAAACATACTGGAGAGAGAAGAATTGCTAATCTATTACTGAAACACAGCAATCACACACTTCTCCCCATTTCCAATAACAGCAAAATAACTAACAAAAAATTCACTACGAATACAAGACCAGGAAGCAATTACCTAAAAACAGCCCTGGGTTGAAAAAAACCCACAAAATTTCTTTTTGCTTCCCAAGGAAGGCATATAAATTTAAAAAATTCTCTATTTTTCAATGAAAAATCTGCACAAGTGCTTAAATATGGATCGTAGCCATCAACTGACATAGTTTAAAAGGCAAGAAAGAAAGGCAGTGGTGTGTGCAGGCACATGATGACATGTTCTGGATACAAAGATTACAAACACTATAGATTCATGTTAAAAAATCCAAACTGGTATAAATGTCAAGACTGCAGCATGAGAAGAACTTCATGCCAGTTGTTAACTTGTTTTTTTAAAATGCAAGTGCTTTTAACAACTTGAGGGTTTTCCCCAGGTATTAAGAGTGAAAAACTGTGGATTCTAATGATTACAACAAACCATTACGAGAGCGCACCTTTTTGTCATGAAAACAAAAAGTTCAAGCGACTTTTTCAAAGCTGGAAATGCATCTGTAGCACACAAGTTCAGCAAAAACCACCAGGATGAGCTTGGTTTTATTAAAAGATATTAACTGCCCAGCCTTGTTATTACCGTTTCAGAGCCCCAAGTAAACATTCTGTGCATGTTATATTGTAGGCTAATTAATGAATCTAGGAGACAGATCTTAGTTAAAATAGATTACTGAATGCCATCTCTGGGATTACAGCCATTGTTTGGGCAGGAGAAGATAAAGCAGGGGCACCTAATTTATTACAACTCTACCATCCACTGTCATATGCAAGTCTTTTTTTAAGTAAGTCTGGTGCAGACCTATTTTTGGAGGTACTCCTTTTTATATGGTTAACCCGGGCAAAGCAGAAACTCTGAAATCCTGTTTTCAAATGCTCTGAGAAGAACAATTTATGGAGAGGCTGCACACAAAAATGAAACATATCCCAAATGATACAGCTGGCTAACAAACTTTTGGTTAAAAGTTTGTGGATAGTTTTTGGGAAAGGCGATAGCAGCAGTTTCATGGACAAGAAAACACTAATTCGTTCACAAATTTTCTCAGTTTGCCTCAGGCTGTGGTAAGCTGTGAACAGAAATGGGAAAGAGAAGCGGGGGCCACGATGTAATCCCATCTATGCCACCAACTCTTTGAGCTGCTTAACCTCCCAAGGCTTTGAGTTCCTGCCTTATAAAAAATAAGGGGCCAGATAACTGACAGAAGGCTACTTCCTGCTAGAAAACTACACTAATCCTGCAAAAAAGGCAGAATGCTAGGACCAGAACTTGTGCTGTACAGCTGTTTTCAAGCAAGGTACACATGACCATGAATGTATGTGTGCTGGTCCATCCGCATGCAGTCCCTGGACACACGGATACACGGACCATGGTCCACACATAGTTGAGCTTACCTGTTCTGGTAACTGTAGTAAGTGGCATCACGAGGGATTGTGCATAACTGTTTGCCATAGCAACAGAGTGTCTGTGGAGAGAACTCCAACTGCAACAGAAACCATTTGTTAAATAGTACACACACCTGCAAGACAAGCTAGAATATTTACACTGGCAAATCAGAAACAAAAGTCAGTGAATTCTTAGTTCTCATTTATGCAGTTAACGAGCTATTTCAGTTTCCAAGGCAATACACAGAACCACAACCATTCTAGTTGACTATACTATAGCAGTCCCACTGATCCACAGGCAGAGACCATTAGTAGATGCCTAAGATTGTGGACCGCACCAAACCCTATACATACTGTGGTTTTCCCTATACGTACGTAACTATGACAGAGTTAATTTACAAATTAGGCACAGTAAGAGATTAATAACTAGTAATAAAATAGAACAATTACAATAGCATACTGTAATAAAAGTTACGTGATTGTGGGCTCTCTCAATATCTTACTGCACTGTACCCGCCCTTCTTGTGATGACAGAAAATATAATGCCTAGGTGATGAGATAAAGGGACATGAACGATGGAGGCACTGTGATGTAGCATAAACAATATTGACCTTTTGACAATACGTCAGAAGATGAATCTCTGCTTCTGGACCATGGTTGACTGAGATGGCGGGAAGTGAAACCACAGGTAAGGAGAGACTACGGTACAGTATTATGTCACCACTCCGAGGTAGGCTTAGCAGTCATATCCTTCAGCCACTTAGCAAAAAAACTCAATGGGACAAGAGGAGCTACATGTGAACTGGTGTGCAGGAAAACAACAGTACGTGCCAGGCACTGTGCACCCATAGATAAGTAAGATCCAAAGCCCTATTATGAGTTTACAATCTGATGATTCAGGATTCTATTAGTCAAGTTTTCAATAATTCTTACCATGCAAAAATTTCTTACCTTTCTGCCACAACAATATCCAAGGCTTTGCATTACTGGGTCAATTTCTTGTTCAAAGACCTCAGACAGCTTGGAGCAGTATTTGTACACCCGTGATGTTTTCCGATTATACAACCAGGCATTGTTGAACATAAGCCAAATGTCATCCACATACTGCCAGGGCTCCTGATACTGTCCAGTGTCTAACTTCCTCTTGATGGTGGAAAGATCCATGGGGCTTTTCACAATATCAAAGTAATCCTAGAAGGGTAAGTGACACCAAGCAACATTACCCCAAAGTCTCAGTATATTTAAGGTAGCTGGTGTTTCTTCCTATAATCATTAATTTTCCAGAAAAGTTAAGTTGCTGTCCTGACTATATGTCCAAGGAATTAAGTTGATACCTATCACTTCTTTAAATTATTAGGCTACAGAGATATGAGGCAACTCAGAGGGCAGAAATAACAAGAGTCACTACATAAACTTTTCAGACAGCAGGCTGATGATCTACTAAAACAACTCCAGATACTTTACCACAGTGTATGTGTGATCCACTGAAACACCAAGAAGTAAAACAGCCTTAACATTTTAGTATTAAAAGGGGCCTACTCTTGAGAAAACTAAGCCCAGTGAACTTCAGTGATCTAAGGCCTCAAAAATATAGGGAAAAAGAAGTTCCTAATGAATTTTGCCCCTGTAAGCACTCCACTGCCTTATCCAATACCACTGACAAGCCTCAAATGAAGTGTGCCAGCGGTCTGGTGTGCAAAGGCAATTTTAAAAACAGAGGAAATGGGGCGCCTGGGTGGCGCAGTCGGTTAAGCGTCCGACTTCAGCCAGGTCACGATCTCGCGGTCCGTGAGTTCGAGCCCCGCGTCAGGCTCTGGGCTGATGGCTCGGAGCCTGGAGCCTGTTTCCGATTCTGTGTCTCCCTCTCTCTCTGCCCCTCCCCTGTTCATGCTCTGTCTCTCTCTGTCCCAAAAATAAATAAACGTTGAAAAAAAAAATTAAAAAAATAAATAAATAAAAACAGAGGAAGTTAATTTGGGTCCATCTTTTCTACCAGAGCTACTGCTACTCAGGTGATAAAAATAAATAAGCCTACGACCCAGTAATCACGATCCTAGGTAATATACCCCAAAGAAACAAAAACATATACCACACAAAAATTTTATACATGAATGTTCATTCACAGCAGCACGATCCTCAATAGCCCAAAAGTGTAAACAACTAAAATGTCCATCAACTAATGTACGGGTAACAAAAATGTGGCACAGCCGTACAATGGAGTATTGCTGAGCCATAAAAAGGAATCAAGTACTGGTTCGTGCTACATTATGAATGAACCCTGAAAGAAGTCAGTCACAAAGAAACACATACTATATAATTCCATTTAATGAAACATCCAGAATAAACAAATCCATAGAGACAGAAGTAGACTAGTGGTTGGATGGGGGAGGAAATGGGCATGAGGGCTCATGGACACAGGGATTCTTTTTTGGGGTGATGAAAATAATCCCAAATTGACCGTGGTGATGGCTGCACAAATCTGTCAATACACAAAAATCAATGAATTGTACAGTTTGAGTGTCTTGAATAATATGTGAATTATAGCTGAATAAAGCTGTTACAAATTAAAAAAAAAAAAAAAAAAAATCAAAACTACCACCACAGGGGCACCTGGGTAGCTCAGTTGGTTAAGCGTCTGAGTCTTGATTTCGGTTCAGGTCACGATCTCAGTCAGGGGATCAAGCATGGCACAGCACTGGGGTCCATGCTGGGCACGGAGCCTGCTTAAGATTCTCTCCCCCACTTTCCCTCTGCTCCTCCTCAACTCACCTGCATGAACACTAAAAAAAAAAAAAAAAGAAAAAGAAAAAAAAAATACCACCACATACTTACAGGGATTCCTAGAAGTTGAGGGTCCACAGGTTGACGAAAGGGAAGGGATTCTGGATCCTGTCGGTAAAGTGCCTCCAATGTTGGCATCAGTGCCTGTCGTAACTCTTCTGGTTTAAAAACTTAAGAGCACAATTGAAATTAGTTATCAGTTAAGTAAAAGAAAAAGAAAACGCTCAAGCTGAAGCTATTAAAACAAATCTCAAGAGCCACAAAACACAAAACTGCCTGTACCGTCTCCATGGAAATACCACTTACAGCACACTTCCTATTTCTAATTTTTGGTCCACATCAGGTAGCGCCTTTAAATGGTGTCAAGTAGACACCATGTCTAGTCAGCTTTAAATACCCTGAACAGCTCAGCTACTTTTTCGATCAGAAATTCAGTTAAAATAGTCTTGACCAAGTAGAAACAGCATCCTAAGCATTCCAGAAATTTATGAAGACACTGGTCAAAAAAAAATTCCAAAATATACTAGTGATGGCGGGGCAGAGGGGGGTGTGCTGTCAAAGAAGAACAGAAAGAGGTCCTCACTCATGAGAAGAGTATATAACGAGTCAGAAGACCTGATACTGTCTCACCACTAAAGGAATCAGAACCCCTGGTGGGAAGAGTCCCTCATTAAACTGCTTGATGTTTTAGAGCTTAGGAGGAATACATATATTTATTATCTTAATAACAAATGGTAGGTTCAAGTCTAAACAAAGAGAGAACTAAATTATTATTGCCCAAACAACAGACTCAACTGATCAAATTTCATTCCAGTGTACTTGGGTATGTTTCTAAAGTCAGGAAAGATTTGCTGGTATGTCCCAAATGGAATTAATTTAAGCTATTATTTAAGAAGCTACTCGTTAAGGGTCCAGGTTTGAGCTTTAAAACACTCTGAGCAGAGGCTTTGTTATTTCTTCTTTTACAAAATAATTTTATCTTCAAGACAGCTTATTTGTTAGTACTTTAGATATTTTTCACTTCATAGTGGGGCAGCCATGAAAAAAATTAAACAGATGGGAGAGGATTCTTTGTTTCTCATATCTGGTTGTGCTCAAAAGAACAAAGTTGAACAAATTTGTGAAATTAGCTGTTTTAAAGACAGATTCCTAACAGTGAGATTGGGTTTCTTGCAGCCTACCTTAAAATACACCTTGATCATATAAACCTTATTTAAATCCAAGTAAATTTTTAACCCTAACATTTTAAGCTGCATTGTATTAATGGAACACCTTTATATACAGCATCTTTAGGAGCCGACAGATTCCTCCCTTGAAAGAAGCCTTACTTGTGCCATAGAGGGTGTCACTAGGGCCCTAAGAAGTCCTAGTCCCAAAGTTGGTAAATCAATTTCTGTGGGAATTAAACAGAGTTTAACACTCTGTACTAAGCTGAGCTGCTTGCTCTGTTTGACTCATTAATATTTAGGAGCTGGCTGGGAGCAGACTGAAATTGGTCTGCCTGGGTTCACTTAACCAGCTGAGTGAGCTGGGGCAAGCTACTTAACCTTGCCCAGCCTCAGGTTTTCAGAAACTGCCCAGAGTTGTTGTAAAGTTAGTAGATGGGAGAGTACAGGTGTGTGGCATGGTACCTGGTGCATACAGTAGGCTGACAATACGTAGTACTATTTATTATCGCTGCTACTGTTTCTTGCATTTTAGTCAAGGGTACGTAACAATTTCTTCCTCTGAAGAAAAGACAATTTTGAGAGGTTGTTAAGCACCCAACCCTGGAGAAATGAAGGGTGTGACTGACCCAGTGACTGCAGGAAGCAAATATACCTACCACAGGAAAGACAAAGTCTTCTCCAACACCAGTAACAACACAGAGACCAGGCCCAAAGGGCTCCAAGCTTAATGAAATCACATCAAAGTCAATTTCTGAGACCAAGAACCCGACCCCATCTATTCAAAGTCTGTGTTTTTTTCCCTGCCTCCAGGAACAGAGAGCCTAAGAGACCTACTCTTCTTCTTTGACTGTCCCGGGGCTGGAGATGACTGGGTAGCCGAAGTACTCGGCTGGTCTTCCTCTTCTTTTGTTTCAGTTTTTAACTCCGTGCCTCTCTCCTCTGTTTCTGTAGGTTCCATTTTACAGTCTTCTGCTTTAGTCTGAAAGACAAGGTGAAATTTTTATTATTCCAAAGACTTGTCACCAGGAAGCAGTAAGATCACCGTCCTATTTACTCTCTCCTGTGGACAAATGCCTTTCTCATGTGGAAATCATGAAATGAGACCTAATTACCAGAATACTTTCCTGTAACAGGTTTAGTGGGGTTCCTAGACAGAGGTCCTACCCAAGTAACAGCAGCCATTGCCCTACCCTCACCTCTGGGATGTCCTCCGGCTGAGTATCTGCTGGTTCTGGTTGATCCACTTCCATCTTAGCCTCCATTTTCACTTCCTGTGAAGGCTGCTTCTCAGGAATGGTCTGAGAATTCACTTCTGTGCTGCTAGTAGATGGAGGGTTTGATACCTGCCCTTCAATGCTTACAGCTGGCTGGGAAAGCTGGACAGAAAAGAGGGGGAAAAAAACACAAAAGTTTGCCATGTATACAACCAGAATTCAAGCTCCGCATCAGGATGGTATGATTAACCACCTATTTTGAGGCTAGTATCATTCTATTCGTTTATGGTGCTTTCATGTACTCGGCCTATTTCACTCCCTTGAAGTAAACTGTGCTTAAGAACAAGAGACTGAGGACTTGCAAAGGCCGACTGGCTGCTGTACCTAAGAGAGCCCGCACTGGCTGTCATTCTGTGGCAGTGTGGGAGGGATGGGGTCGTAGAGCTGACTGCCTCCGAAGAGCTCACGTTTACAGAGAAGTAGAAAGAAAAGAAGGATGACTGGCTATTTTGTTTTGTTTTGAACTTATCAGCAGGAAAAGCTGCAAATGTACAGAAGAAGTAGAATAAAATGAACTCCCACACTCACCACGTTTTAACGGGATAACTGGTAATTTCTTTATCCTAAGTCTTCCAATAAGAAACCTCATACCGAGTAGTTAGTATTTTCAGGAACTACCTGAATCAAAAGCTCCCTTTGTGCACTCTGCCGTTCCTCACCTATCAGAGGCTGGGATGAACCAGTTGCTTACTTATGGTGTTTTATGAAGTAGCTGTGACTCATGGGACTTCTTGGCTTACTAACAGGACAGAAACTAAAATATTAAGTATCAGTTAACAAGTAGAAAGTTCTATGCCCTGACACAGAGAATTGGTAACGATGTAGCTATTAGATGTGAACTTGCATTTCTGCTACATACATAATGAGCCTCTCACAAGAAAGTTACAGACTGTTTCAGACCCATACTTTTCTCATTTTAGGTCATGATTTTCTAACCTTGGCTCGGACCACAGACATTCATAGATCCATGGTTTTGTTCGTTTGCTCTCAAATATTACAGGTCAGACTGTCTGAAAAAAGATTCTTTAAAATATATAAAATTTACGTGGTGTGCTAAACATACTATGGATTCTTTCTGCTTGCCACCCCACTTACATGCCTGTAAGCCTTGGAGTATAAGACAAAACACACCATGGTCAACATCGGACCTAAACAAAACCTTTGAGCTCCCTCCATGCTAGGTACTACAATGGCAAGAACAGGAAGGAAAAGAAAGTCCCTAACTACAGAGAGATTCTGGTCTAACTGGGGAGACGGCACAATACAGAATACAAACCGCACATAAATAATCTAACACTAGGGTACAGCTAGAAGGATTCTGCCAAAACACATGTCTCTGCTTACTGGAGTCGCAGGCTGTGGAGGCAGCAGCGGTGCCGTTGGGGTGGGAACAGATGCTGCTGTACTCTGCTGTGAGAGAGGCTGCTGCTGCGGCTGGTCGGCGGAAGGGGCAGCAGGAAGTGAAGGTTGAACTTGGGGAGGGAGTTGCGTTGGTGGCGGTGTAGGTGTCTGCCTTGGAGGTGGATGGAGAGCTTGGGTCTGTGGCCCAGGCGGCATGGCTGGAGGTGTAGGAACAGGGGCTGGAATTGCTGTTGCTGGTGGCTGCTGAGCCCCTATGCTTGGGGGAGTGTGGTGAGGTGTGGGGGTGCGACTAGGTACTGGAGAGGGTGAATTCTGATGCAGAGCTGATTGAGGGAGAGGGGGACAGTGAATGTGGCTCCCTTGAGACCCTGGAGGCATTATAGGAGAATTCACAGGGCAGGAAGAACTGGACATCTGTGCCTGTTAAATGAGAAACAACAACATGACGACTCAGAACACAATGCAAGAAGTAATTACATAGGCAGCCTATATGCAATATGCTTCCACTTCAAATATGTCAAAAATCTTGTTACTAGGGGCATGTCTTCAGATAATCCAACCAATGTAGTATTTAATTAAGTAGGCTTCAAAAAAACCCACCAGAATGGCCACAGCCACTGTAGAGGCACGGGACAGTTGAGTCCACAGTATTTTCTGCCTGGCTCTGCTCTCTTCAGTCACAGTTCTTTTGCATTAAAGTTCTAAGATTTCATTTTAAAAAGTGTACGCTACTTTAACAAATGGTTACAACTATCGACTTAATCTACTTTGTAACAATTAGTAGCATTGCTATGTCATAGTAATGTCATGTTCAGAATTCATTTTAAAAAGTGTTTGCTACTTTAACAAATGGTTACAACTATCAATTTAATCTATTTTGTTTGTAACAATTAGTAGCATTGCTATGTCATGGTAAACTCACGTTCAGAATACCATATGTCCATAATTGTTCTTATTAAAAACTTAAAAAAAAAAATCTATTTTGACGCATTATTTGTTGCCAGATCAAGAGAAGTTTCAAGGATCACAAAAACAAGTAAAAAAAACCCATCCGTGGGACATACTTGAGACACCGGTGCCTGACCGCCAGACGGAGCCAAAGGCATATTCGTTACATTCATTCCCTGTGTTGAGAACTGAGTCTGGGGAAGGAACTGGCTCTGGCTGGAAGGCTGCTGCATGCGAGGCCCATAGCCCATTGGCTGCAGAGGGGGGAAAGAATAAACACAGAGCACCAAATTGCTTCATTGTGGTTATTCTACTACAGCCAGAATCCCCAACTACTCTGGTTCTGCTGAGGGGAAGGTGGGGTAGGAAAGGAAGAAAGTGTGCAACAGTGGACTCTCATGCAAAGATAGTGGAGAACACCCTCAAAGCTGACCAAGGCCTACTCTAAAGCAATTACAGGAGGTTACACACAAACCGATTCTCCCAATACACAAATGCACCTGACAAGGTACAGAAGTAACTGCTTTTGCATATTGTTTGTTAAGTGATCATGAACTACAACTTCATGAGGTCTTTGCTCATGTCATGACATTGTAACATCACAAATTATAAGACTCCATAATCGGTACAATTAAAATCTTAAAAAGCTGTGGCTGAACTTGGTAGCATTCATGGTCCACAAATACTTGAGGAATGTTACATCTCTTTCTTTTTATTTTTGGTGAAAACATGTTTATAGTAGCTTTATTCATAATAGTCAACAACTGGAAATATTCGAAATGTCCATCAATAGCAAAGAATAAACAAATTGTGGCACACTCACAAAATGGAATACTACTCAGCAATAAAAAATGGGATTACTGGGTGGCCTGGATGGCTCAGTTGGTTAAGTGTCCAACACCGGCTCAGGTCATGATCTCATGGTTTATGAGTGTGAGCCCCACGTCGGGCTCTGTGTTGAACGCTCAGAACCTGGGGCCTGCTTTGGATTTTGTGTCTCCCTCTCTCTCTCTGCCCCTCTCCCACTCACGCATTTTCTCTCAAAAATAAATGTTAAAAAAAATTTTTTTTAATGAATTATTGATATAAACAACAGTGTAGGTGAACATCAAAACCATCATGTTGTGCCAAAAAGGTCAGACACAATACAGTACATCTGAATGATCCCATTTATATGAAGTGAAGAAACAAGTAAAGCTAATCCAGGTTACAGAAATCATGGTATCCATTGTCTAAAGGGGATAGGAATTTAGTAGAAGGAGGCATGAGGGTACTCTCCAGTGGAAATGTGCTTTACCTTGAGGACTGTTACATTTGATGTCTAAAATCCCCCCCTCCCCCAATACAGGCCTTTAATAGAGAAATTATGAAATACCAAAGGCCAAAAACTTCACCAAACATTTAAAAAAAAAAAAAAAGTAACAATCCTCAAGTATTTGTGGACCATGAATGCTACCAAGTTCAGCCACAGCTTTTGTATACAGCATTGGCACAACAATAAGATATTTATCTTATAACGATGGCAGTATGGCACCAAGACATGCTAGACAACTCCAAAATGGCTCAAGGATTAGAGGCGCTAGCTAATTCTCAAAGGGCTAGGATTGGGGTTAACATGGAAAGGTGGACTGCAAAAGGAGCAGTGAGATGCTCAGAGTCCCTCTTCTCCAGTGTCTAGAACCAAGCAATTGTTCCTCCATCGTTCTTGCAAAAGACAGTTTCCTACCTGGGTAGGCTGTATGTTTGATGAGCATTATAAAAGAGAAAGGACTATCAAAGTGTGCAAACTACTAAACAATGAAACTCCAGGGAAAGGTGACTGGATGCTCTTATGAGTTTTCTAGTACTAGGACTATGAATAGTACTTGGAAACAAAATTTTTTTAAGTGTTTATTTTACACGGATTATAATCAAGAGAGTTAACTATATTGGATCCTATAATACATACACTTTAGAAACTTGGTTTTTCATTTAAGGCTGTAAACAGCTTTTATGCCAACATGTAAGTTCTGAAATTATTGCTTGTAGAGCATTACAATTTATGAATGTACCATAATTTAACCATTGTGAATCCCCTACTGCACATTCAGGATGCCACTTTCCACCCCCCCCCCCCAAAACAGGGTATACAAGATGCTTAACATGAATTTTCTCCAAATGATGTCCTTTTGGTATCTTAGTGATGATTTCTTTTTTTTTTTTTTTTTTAAATTTTTTTTTTTCAACGTTTACTTATTTTGGGGACAGAGAGAAACAGAGCATGAATGGGGGAGGGGCAGAGAGAGAGGGAGACACAGAATCGGAAACAGGCTCCAGGCTCTGAGCCATCAGCCCAGAGCCCGACGCGGGGCTCGAACTCACGGACCGCGAGATCGTGACCTGGCTGAAGTCGGACGCTTAACCGACTGCGCCACCCAGGCGCCCCTAGGATACATTTCTAAAAACAATTTATAGGTAAAAGAGATAGATAAAAATCAGGGATTTTAGTATTTACTCACTGCCTAATTATGGTATATGGTTTAGTTTTTTCTTACTCCACTTTAAAAAAATAACTACCCTCAACTCCAAAACACATATATAATCATTTATTAAGTGTATAATAAAGGCCAAATACAATAGAATTAAAGATAAAAATCTGGATTAAAATTACTCACTTATAATTAGCTATTTAAGCAACTATAAGCATTGTTTACAAAGTACAAACAGATAAAAAGGATTTTTAAATGTTAAAGGCCAAGATAAATACCCAAAGATGTCAAACTTACTGGGTTGAGAGTTCCAGGCTGAGCTAACTGTCCATGGTGCTGAAGAGGAGAGGTTTGCCGGGGTCCAATTGGGGGCTGGGGCATACTCATCTGGCCAAATTGATTCATACCTGTGAGTAAGTACAAAATATTAGATCTGAATGCCTTCATGGAATTGGAGAACTAAAGACAGAATTCTGATTCTGTGACATTTTATCAGGACAAATAAAGGAACCAGTTTTCAACTGTGAATGAATTGGTTCCATTTATAGCCACACTGTTACTTAACATAAGGTCTCTGAATAAAATTTTACAATTTAGAATAAAATCCATCTTGACCGGTTGTTTTTATTTATTTTTAATAATTTTTTTTAAGTTTATGCATTTACTATTGACACAGAGAGCACAAAAGATAGGCAGAGGCAGAGAGAGGGAGACATAGAATCTGAAGCAGGCTCCAGGCTCCAAGCTGTCAGCACACAATCCGACACAGAACTCGAACCCACAGACCATTAGGTCATGACCCGAGCCAAAGTCAGACACCTAACCGACTGAGCCACCTAGGTGCCTGGACCAGTTGTTTTTAAAAAAAAAAAAAAAAAATTATTTATTATTGAGAGTTAGAGAGAGACAGTGCATGAGCATGGGAGGGGCAGAGAGAGAGGGAGACACAGAATCTGAAGCAGGCTCCAGGCTTTGAGCTGTCAGCACAAGCTTGATGCGGGGCTCAAACTCACAAACCGTGAGATCATGACCTGAGCTGAAGTTGGATGCTTAACCCACTAAGCCACCCAGGTGCCCTTGGACTGGTTGTTTTTAAATGGATGCTCGACCATTTCATGTTTTTGCCACCTGCCAGCCAAACTGTGTTCCACACCCTTCCTTTCTCCTTGGGCTCCAAATCCAAAATATGTTCTGATTTCTCAAGTAGGATACACGCTGCTGGGCTGAGGCAGGAATTAAGGTGACAAGAATAGTATTTAAAAAAAAAATTTTTTTTTAATCTTTATTTTTTTTTTTTTTAATTTTTTTTTCAACGCTTATTTATTTTTGGGACAGAGAGAGAGCATGAACGGGGGAGGGGCAGAGAGAGAGGGAGACACAGAATTGGAAACAGGCTCCAGGCTCTGAGCCATCAGCCCAGAGCCTGACGCGGGGCTCGAACTCACGGACCGCGAGATCGTGACCTGGCTGAAGTCGGACGCTTAACCGACTGCGCCACCCAGGCGCCCCTTTTAATCTTTATTTTTGAGAGAGATACAGAGTGCAAATGGGGGAGGAGAAGAGAGAGAGGGAGACAGAATCCGAAGCAGATTCCAGGCTCTGAGCTGTCAGCACAGAGCCTGACACAGGACTTGAACTCACACACTGCGAGATCATGACCTGAGCCGAAGTCAGATGATTAACCGACTGAACCACCCAGGCGCCCCAAGAATAATTTTATAGTACACCAGAGACTGTTTTAAAAAGCCATGGTTGGGCACCTTGGTGGCTCAGTAGGTTGAGCATCTGACTCTTGATTTTGGCTCAGGTCACAATCTCACAGTCTGTGGGGTCGAGCTCCACATTGGGTTCCACGATGAGAGTGTGGAGCCTGCTTATGATTCTCTCCCTCAAAACAAACTTTGAAAATAAAAAAGCTATGGTGAGGGGCACTTGGCTGGCTCAGTTGGTAGAGCATGGGACTCTCGATCTCAGAGTCATGAATTCAAGCCCCATGTTGGATGTTGGACGTGGAACTTACTCTGAAAAAAAAAAAAAAAAAAAAAAAAAAAAAAAAAAGCCATGGCTAAATAAATATATGGATTTCCTTCATAACTTACCAGGCTGTGGAGTTATCCGAGGCATCATCTGGTTTGGCACACTGCCACGGATCATAGATGGGTCAGGCAGAGGGCCATCTAGGGTAGAATAGAGAAATGGTTAGAAAATTATCTTTGGCAAGCGGCACTTTTGTTTAAAAAAAAAACAAAACACAAAATATCTTTAGTAGTATCTTGAAAAATTCAGCCTGAATCTCCAAAGAATAAAGCTATGAATTTAGACAAGAACCTGAAGAAAACTGTTAGTTCTGGAATAGAAGAAAAGCCTCCAAATAATTACAGTATATCCTATGCTTTCTTTCAGTGCTGACAAGAAAATAATGTAAATTCTTAACTTTAAAGAAAAGAGAAAGGCTATTATAGCATTTAATATGCTACTATTTGACTAAACTGTTTAAGTTGTTTTTGGTTGTTATGCAGGAGAATGTCTTCAACAGATAGCTACAGATTTTGTTCAGTGACCAGATTTGACTGTGTACCCCAATAATAGGTGTTTTTATGCGCACAAACCCATTGTGAACACTGACTTTAAATAATTCAGGTACTCTATTGCTCTACATATTGTGCACACCTCTTAAATACAAAAGTAGAAAGAATTAAAAAAGACATCAAAATGTAAACACGGTTGACCCTTGACCAACATTTGAACTCTGCAAGTCCACTTACATGTGGACTTTTTTAGTAACGTGTATTTCTTATGATTCTTTCCTGTAGCTTATTTTTCTATAGGAACACAGTATTTAACATACTTAACAGGCAAAATATGTGTTATCTGTTTGTTATCCCTAAGGCTTCTGGTCAACAGATTTTTTTGGGAGTCAGAAGTTTTATGTGGATTTTAAACTGTGCAGGGGTTGGCACCCCTAACCCCTTGGTTGTTTAAGGGTCAACTGTATGTAATTTCTAGTATTTTCATGGATTATTTGCACATCTTCTAGCATAGACCTTCCAACTTTTCTCCACATCATCGTGTAGATCAAATAATATTTCTATAGCACCGTGGGAAAAGACAGGATGCTTGTAGTGACCCAACTCTGCCTTGGACACTTCCTGACCCAAAGTGCTACTGCACTCAAATCTCAGACACATTTGTGACGACTACGCTCTAAAGAGAAGCCTACAGTGTGCTATACTAACTAGTAACAGAAATGATCACACAACTAAGTGGGTTAGTGCAATTCAAGTTAACTAAATCCATCAAGATTTGCCACTAACATTGCTCCTAATAAAACTATAATACAGTCAAATTGAATACTGGAGAGAATTCTGAACATTTATTCATATACTCTTTTATCCACAATTGTGCAAGATTTCTAAAAATTACATATATACCCTATGGTCACTATATAAAAATTAGAGAATAGAGATAAACCTGTATAGTTTTAATTTTCCACATGTATATTCATCTACACTTTACATAAAAGCAAAATTTTCACTTAATATACAAGGAACTTTTTCCCTGTCAATAACACAGATAAGTGTTGCAAGCTAAATGCCAGCAGAGACCAGGCAGTCAGTACCAGTCAGTGGGAAAGACCAGGCATCTGAAACAGGGAAAAGGGAGCAAAACTGAGAGGAAGTGGGAAAAGCACAACTATGATGACAAGCAGCCATTACTCTAGTGAGAGACTGTGGTGCTGCTGTGGGGAAGACAGGGCCAAATATGCTAGATCCTTCCATCTCTAAAGGAAACCAGGAATCTATATATTCTTAAGTGTTTTTTTTTTTTTTTTAAAGTTTATTTATTGCAAGGCGGGGCGGGGGTGGTGGTGGAGAGTAGAGACAGAGGGAGACAGAATCCCAACCAGGTTCTGCATGGTCAGCGTGGAGCCCAATGTGGGGCTTGAACCCATGAATGGTGAGATCATGACCTGAGCTGAAATCCAGAGTAGGACACTTAACTGAACCACCCAGGCACCCCTATGCAAAATCTTTTCAAATACATGAAAATATTAAGATGAAAAAACAAAAACCTAATTCTACTGCCTACAGCTGGCTCACTTTCATTTACAACTATAATGCACATGATGGTTTTTACTGACTGCATGGTATAAATGTGCAATGAAACCTACTGTGGGCCCAGGAGGCAGCTCTTAAATTTTATCATAAGGGGGGCACCTGGGTGGCTCGGTCAGTTGGGCGACTGACTTCAGCTCAAGTCATGATCTCACAGTTCATGAGTTCGAGCCCTGTGTCAGGCTCTGTGCTGACAGCTCAGAGCCTGGAGCCTGCTTCGGATTCTGTGTCTCCCCCTCTCTCTGCCCCTCCCCTGCTCATGCTCTATGTCTGTCTCTCAATAATAAATAGATGTTAAAAATAAAAAAACTCTGAAAAAATTTTATCATAAGGAACATATAATGAACATCTGAAGAACATTTTGATGACAATTTTTATTTAGATAAAAAATATGTATATATATATATATATACACATATGAAACAATTAATTAAAATGTTTATCATTCACATCTAGATAAATACCCCAAGGCAAAATACACACCTAGATTGAACAAATTCCTTATAACACACAACACTAAATATATCCAAGTAAGCCTATCACCACCCCCGGGGGCCCCCCCCCCCCAGGCAACCAATATTAACAAATTAGCATTGGGGCACCTGGTTGTCTCAGTTAAGCATCCAACTCTTGATTTTGGCTCAGGCCATGATCTCATGGTTCATGAGATCAAGTCACACACTGGGCTCTGGGATGAGTGTGGGGCCTGCCTGGGATTTTTTCTCTCCCCACCCCCCCCACACTGCTGGTGCACGTGCTCTCTCAAAAAACAAAAAACAACCCCTCCTCCCGTCCAACCACACAGATAATATACATACTTGTCAACTCTCAAAGTTTTTATGTTTGCAAAAAAAAAAAATAAATAAAAAATTGAGAAGTCAGCCACTTATTCAACCTCATTAATAATTAGGTTCATCATTTTCACATTACATATAATGTATATTGCTTATATTCACTTATTATAAACATCTTTCCAGGCCAATACAAATACCTACCATAGCCACCCTTTGATTATATAATGCATGCCCTTTGCAAACAAAACAAACTTTACAGAAATATAAAAATTGGAAAGTTCAAGTCTTCTATATTCCTTCCTCTTACCCGTAATCATTTTCTCATGCAAATATACAAATGAGATAGAAATAAATCATACTCAGTATATCACATTAAATGAGTATGAAAACTGTGATATAATTGGTATTACATTCCATTAGTTTCAAGCGTACATGATTTGATATTTATATGTTACAAAAGATGACCACAGTACGTCTTTGTCAAGTTTTTTTTCTTGTGATGAGAACTTTTAAGATACACTTTTATCAAGTTTCAAATGCCCAATGCAGTATTATTTTTTTATTAAAAACATTAAAAAAATTTTTTTTAATGTTTACTTTTGAGAGACTGAGCACAAGTGCGGGAGGAGCAAGAGAGACACACACACAAAATCCAAAGCAGGCACCAGGCTCTGAGCTGTCAGCAGAGCCCGATGTGGGGTTTGAGCCCATGAGCCACAACATCATGACCTGACACTTAACCGACTGAGCCACCCAGGTGCCCCTACGGTATTATTAACTACAGTCACCATGTTGAATATTACACATCCTCAGGAGTTATTTATAACTGCAAGTTTGAACCTTTTGATCTCTTTTACATATTTCAGCCACCCCATACCACTGCCATCCCTCCCCGCCCCTGCCTCTGGCAACCACCAAACTGTTATCTATCTAGAAACTCATTTTTTTTAAGATTCCAAATTCTAGGGAAATCATATGCTATGTCTTTTTGACTGATTTCACTTAGCATAATGCTCTCAAATTTCATCCATGTTGGGGCGCCTGGGTGGCTCAGTCGGTTAAGCGGCCGACTTCGTCTCAGGTCATGATCTTGCGGTCCGTGAGTTCAAGCCCCGCGTCGGGCTCTGTGCTGACAGCTCAGAGCCTGGAGCCTGTTTCAGATTCTGTGTCTCCCTCTCTCTCTGCCCCTCCCCCGCTCATACTCTGTCTCTCTCTGTCTCAAAAATAAATAAACGTTAAAAAAATAATAATAAGAAAAAAAATTCCATCCATGTCACAAATGGCAAGACTTACTTCTTTTTTATGACTGAATAGTACTCTGGGTGTGTGTGTGTGTGTGTGTGTGTGTGTCGATTTCTTGATCGATGGATATATCTTGGCTATTGTAAATAATGCTGCAATGAACATGGGGGTGCATATATGTTTACCTTATTAAACTAGTTTCTTCCTTATGGTGCATTTTGGGCTTTTTAACCTAATGAAATTAATCATTCCTTTTCTTTATAGTTTGATTTTATTTTCTGGATGTTTCATCATCTACTTTAAAATAGTGATGAGCTAGGTTTGGTTGGGCAATTGTCTTTTCTTTCAAGAAAACTTTCTTCTATTACTTTTTAATTACAATTTTCTTTATTTAACATATCTGAACGATTTACAGCAGACTGGGAAGACAAAATGCCGGGGGGGTGGGGGGGGTTGACTCCTGATTCTGCCATTCACTAACTGTGTGACCATGGCAAGTTAGGCAACCTTTCTATGCCTTAGTTTCTTACTCGTAAAATGGGGATAATAGTACCTAACATTGGGTTTCCAAATCTCTCAAATTTTTTTCTATATGTCTATCATCTCTCTACTGACTTTTTAAAAAAAATGTTTATTTTTGAGAGGCAGACAGAGTACGAAGGGGTGAGGGCAGAAAGAGAGAGGGAGACACAGAATCTGAAGCAGGCTTTAGGCTCTGAACTGTCTGCATGGAGCCCGATGTGGGGCTCGATCTCATGAACTGTGAGATCATCACTTGAGCTGAAGTCAGACACTTAACTGACTGAGCCACCCAGGAGCCCGATTTTTTTCTTCTTAATTTAAGATCTAAGACCCAATGTGGGGACTTAAACTCATGACCCTGAGATCAACAGTCACATGCTGCACCGAATGAGCTAGCCAGGCACCTCATATTTAGTATCTTTTTAAGCCGTTTTTTAATTCTTATCTTCTTTGTTTTGTTATTGCTAATCTGGTTTTAAACTCAGTCAACTCTCCCATTTCGTTTTCCATCCCCTGCTGTCTTTTTATGTCTGTGTATAGTAATTTTTTCTTTTGAAAATTTCCTTTTTCTGTAATAACTCTCCCTTGCAGTTGTAATTATCTACATAGACCACAGGAGGAATTCCTTTATCTCTGTATAGGGAGCGATCCCCTCAGGGTGTGTGTGTGCTATGTGCTCAAGAGGGTAGGTGGTATTACCTTAGAGGGGTTTCTCTGGCAGCCACACCTTGCCCTTCACCTTTAAGTGGAGGGTTCCAGATGGTTGGTTAAATCTGTTCAATCTTTCAACTGCCTGGGTAAAAAGGGGATGCTCTGGAGAAGCCTCAAAATATTCTGGTGTATAGTGTCTGGTTCCTTTAGCAGTGCAATACTGGAGGCACTTTTAGGATGTTTCTAAACATCCTGTTGGACGTTTCAATGGTATAAATTACGTTACTGTGAATATTTCTACGCAACTGTACATTACTTTGTATTTCTAGAAATGTAACAACTGGGCAATGAAAAAACATTTAAATTCTTTAAATGTAATGAAAGGTAATGCAAAAAACATTTAAATTCTTACCAACAGCATATTCCAGAACCATGTTACCATACAGTCATTAACACCCACTCTAACCTTTAGAGACGCCAAAAGGTCATATTGATTTTACTTGTTCTTTCCTTTTCCCATTTTTCATCTTTCCCCCCAAGTCATATACTAAGGAAATTATACCTTTAACACTGAAAATACTTTCCTTGGTTTGTCTATTAATTACACTTATGGTATCTTCTGTTGTCATTTTTTTTTTCCCTCAAAACTTCTAGGCAGTATCTAAAGACGTTTCTTGTTTTATTTTATATTTTCTTGTATACATTCTGTGTACTACTTTCAATTTTTAGCTTAAAATTTAAAACTTCTCATTCTTCTACAATTTGCATATGGGATCATTCTACAAAAGGCCAGATTTAGTATAAGCTAAAGGTCAACATATCCTTAGGGCTATTCAGTTCCATTAACATTGGTTCCTGCCTGCACCCCTACCACACTGCTTCCACCCCCACGAGACTACAATTTAGTATCTGTAGACGTTAAACTTGGCTCCAATTTCTCCAGACAAAAACTACCAGAAAACGAACTCCAGAAAGCTCTACTGCACCCAAGTGTCTCAGGTTTGCCCACCTGTCTCTATACCTTAGGTGCTGTCCTGGTTTAGACCATCAGCACTGAATCCACTCTTGACTTTCTTGTTTTTGAACAACTGCTCTCCTACCTACTCAAAACACAGCTGCTTTTCCTTTGTCAGTGGGCCTCCTTGTACACTCTTTCTCTGCCAGAAATGTTGTTCCTCTTCTCAATTCTTCTCCCACCATGGCCCAATGAGAACACTGCAGTTAACAAACGGAGCTACTAAAGGCAAGTGGCAACTAGCAGTTCTCCATTTTACTACTTTGAGGCCTGAGGGAGATGAATTTTGAGCCCACCAAAAATCCTGGCATGAGTTGGTACCTATTCACTCAGCTGGCACTATCTACAGGTAATCGGCTTTCCCTGACTCAAGATATACAGAATTTCTGCTATCATAGTCTTTCTCACATCATTTAATATAGCCTGTGTTCTTCCTCATCACTGTGTACCTAACTCCTTATGTCACTGCTTGAAACCTTGTCATCAGTCAGTGAATAAGGCAATGCAGAATCATCTTGGCTATCTGGTTAATTCACTAAGTTGAGAAGGCTGCTATACCAGAATACTAAAACTGTCAAGATGAATTTTTATTTTTTATTAATTTTTTTAAAATGTTTATTCATTTTTGAGAGACACAGCATGAGCAGGGGAGGGGCAGTGAGAGAGAGAGAGAGAGAGAGAGAGAGAGAGAGAGAGAGAGAGAGACAGACAGAATCTAAAGCAGGCTCCAGGCTCTGAGCTGTCAGCACAGAGCCTGACACGGGGCTCAAACCCACAAACTGTGAGATCATGACCCGAGCTGAAGTCGGACACTCAGCCGACTGAGCCACCCAGGCGCCCCTCCAGATGAATTTTTAAATGCTTCTAGGGGCGGCACCCAGGTGGCTCAGTCGGTTAAGCATCTGACTTCAGCTCAGGTCATGATCTTGCGGTTCATGAGTTTGAGCCCTGCATCAGGCTCTGTGCTTACGGCTCAGAGCTTGTAGCCTGCTGTGGACTCTGTGTCTCCCTTTCCCTCTGCCCCTGCCCTGTTGACACTCTGTCTCTCAAATATTAACAAAAATTAAATGCTTCTGAAAAACAGTTCTTAGCCTTCAAACATATTGTATCAAGAAGAAAGCGTGACAATGTTAAGGAACACAGTGTTGATAATTTGTTTAGGATGTATGAAAGCTGGTAGGGCCTCTGAACCTGTTCAGCACTGGCTGCCTACCAAATATAAGTCCATATAAACCTGTAGGCTACCATTTTCTAGGTGTTCACTCAGAGAGAAGAGTATCTTAGGCTTCTAAAAATGATGCCAGATGATCAAAACACGTTAAGCACTATGACCAGAAATCTTAAACATACTGCTTAATTACTGCTCTTATGAAGGGTTGAATTATTTTCTTTGCAAAGGCAAAAAAGGGTCATTCAAAAACTCTAGAAAAGTTATGCAAGCTAATGCAAATTAGTGACTTTGGCTAGAAAACATTTTATTACCATTTTCTTCCCCAAAACAGCTATAATGAAAAGCACTTACTGGAAGTCATTCCTGGTTGTGGCTGCCCCATATTAGGCCCTGGATTCATAGAAACTGGTACCATGCCTGCAGCACTTGGTAGCATGTTTTGTTTCTGTAGTCTAGTCCTTCGTTTTTCTTCTAGTTCTTTCTGGATCTTATAGATTTTCTCAGCTAGCAGGTGGTAGTATTCGGCCTTTTTGAATTTTGAAAATAAAACACAGATAAGGAAAAAAGAGGAATTACTATTAGGGAACAGAAAAAATGAACAGATATTAGCTTCATTTACAGATATAAGGAGAAACCCAAAGAGGGGAAAAATCTATTCCCCTTTTAAAAGTTTTTATTTTAATTCCAGTTAGTTAATATACAGTGTTATATTAATTTCAAGTGTACAATGTAGTGATCCAATACTTCATATGTCACCTGGTGCTCATCACAAGTGCATACCTTAGTCCGCAACATCTATTTCACCCATCCTCCCCACCCCCGCCTCTCCTCTGATATAACCACCATAAAAATCTGCTTTCTTAGATCATCCCAGATGTGAGTTCATGTTTGGAATCATCATGTGAAAAGCAGCTTTGTGATGAAGCTACATAGTAAAGCATGACCTCTCAAAGTAGGTTAATGAAATATATGCTGGCGATTTATGGCACATGCAAAGAATATGCTACATTTTGGAAAAGTGCCAACTTAGAGAAGAATGTTCAACTGATATAGAGAAAATGGAATACTACTTGAGATGAACATACTAAGCAGCTGATTCACCATTATTCTAGTGAAAATAGCAGAGAGCTGGTAACAGCTCAACCACTTTTGAAGTTGACAGAAGGACAACCCAGATAAAGTGCCACACGAGTACACTGGATTATTAAGAGGAAAAACGTAAGATTCTTGATGACATACGCCTGAAGAAAATTGCTTTGTTATCTTGACTGTGCAGTGAAACTAAGGACAGCTGAAGGGTATCCTCTAAAGTACGGTATTGTTTGTACATGTTACGAAAAGAAACAAACAACTAGGATAGGTCTATTTCTGACTTTATGTAGAAAAATAGATACTCACCCGATTATTTGCAGATTCGTACATGTCTCCTTCCACTTTCCGGGCATATGCAACCAAGTTTTCCATCCGTCTGTCTTTTAAAGCAGCAGGATCCGGAGTAGGAAATATGGCTTGAACTCTGGAAACAGAAAATTCTACCACTATTATATCATGTCAACTTTTCATTCTCGTCATGGAAACGTCCAGTACTTTAAACTTTTTCCTGGTTAGTACTTTCTCATTTCTGTGCAATGTACACATTATGTAAAACAAAAAATGGTGGATGTGCTCAAATATTAAATGATACAGAGCAAATGAAATGGTCTCTGTGATAAACAAAGGGTCTCCCCAATCAGAACATAAAAAATGACACCATAATAACCCCCTCTGGTTCCTGTCACGCTAACACAGGAGCAAAAAAAATTATACTCTGCTATTTGCATAAAGGAAGTGAGGAAACCTGACCTTTCTCATTGTTTTAAGTAGAGCGGCCTTCAGATCCTTCTACTCTCAATTTATTCAGCTTAATAAAACCTAATAATCACCACAAAATCTTTCAAGACCAAAAACTTCAAGTGGAAGGGGCAGAAATGCATAACGATTCTGCCAAATTCAGTGTCTTTTACTTTCTAACAGTTCCCTACAAAATGTTTGGCACTAGGGTTCCTGAAGATTTGACCAATACTTTTCCAGCCTCTAATTTTATTAATTGGAGATTTCGTGTTCACTTGTGTAGGACTTGAAGAAAACCAGGTGGGGAAGAAATAAATGGAAGTTTAGAAGAATATTTTGAGTTGGTAAAAATTTCGCAAGCATATAATGTCAAGTCAGATGATCGATCCCAAATAATCCATTGTCTGCTATGAGAGAACAGGTGCTAAACAACTGGAGTATCACAAAATAAGTTTGCTTTGCTTATTCCTTTTTAATTCATTTAATTAAAATCTTAGGGTTTTCTTGTCAAATTCCACTTCTGGTACCACTGATTTTGAATTTCTAAACGAAAGTCAAATGTAACTGGTATGCTAATGTAATATAAAAATTAGTTTAGATAAAAAATAGACCACACAGCTCTAAGCCAATAAAAAATATGGATGGACTGAAAGAGACCCTTCTATTAAGTGGAGAAAAAAATGAAAAAAGACTGCTTTCCCCGAGGAGAAAAATGCTGGATGTCACTCAGAGTGCAAGTTCCATAGCAATGAGCAAGGTTCAAGCTCTGTTTTTTTTATAATATTGCGCACATTACATTTTACTGCTATCGCTTTCCCCTCCTTCACCTGCCAAGACCTCTTTAAAGAAGAGGGTGGCTGAATGGCTGGCATCCATCAACTCCATAACAAACAATGCAGAGGTATCTCACCAACTACTGACATGCACATCCGGAGGGCCAGAAGACCAGAGAGGAGCCACTCTACCAGGTTAAACTTGTCAACATCATAAAAGCTTTAATAGGGATAAAGGAAAAGAGTGTTGCCACCACCATATTCTAAAGAGCTGAGAGAGACCTGGTTTTCCTTTTAAAATTTGACTTTTGCAAAGGCAGTGACACTAAAATGAGTAATTTTTATATAATATATTGAAAACTGCCACTAGGTAAAATAGTTCACACACTGTTAAAGCCATAATACTCCTACAAACGATGGTGGAAAGGCTCAGAAGCAGAACAAGCAGCAAGACAGTCACAGGAGCAGGAGCATTAGCAGCAATAGCCAGACTACAGAAAAATCAATAATACTCCTCTTGTGGTTAAGTGCCTGGCAGATCGGTACCATGTTGACATGGTAACTCTCTATGAATAAGACATGCCTATAATCTTACAGTTTGTGAACAAGATGATTTCGAAGATCCTGAGTAATATCTTCATGCCACTGTTTCCGAATTCCAGTATTAGATGGTTGAGCTGCTGTTGGCATAGGACCTAGGGAGGCCACACTGGCATTTTCACTCATCATTGGGCTTTAAAAAGATATTGTGAAATAGTTTTAGTGAAGAAGGCAGGAGAAAAAAGATCTCATTTAAAGCAGAGCTGACAGTGATTACTACAATGGGTCCAACATACTATGACAAATTTCTTTACATCAAGAAATCTAGGGGAAATTGTGTGTGTGTGTGTGTGTGTGTGTGTGTGTGTGTGTGTATTTGTATGAGGCAGAGTTAACCCACAACACTTCATCATGTGGAGGGGAGGAGGAAGTCTTGGGTTTAGAAGACTTACGTGTTATGTTGTAAGACTAAACTTATTTTGACACAGCTTATCCCAGGGAATCACTGGTAATGGATTAATTCTTACCAATGGGATAGAGCAAACTCATTTTTTAAGCAATTGCACACTTGCAACTTCCTACTATATTCGGGGAAGGTACTGATCACCCAGATACAATTTCACATAAGATTGTAGAAAGCCAAAAGTATGGCCTCCAATATACTACTTGTCTTTATCCATCAAGGATGGCTTCAAATCAGGGGGAAAAAATAAAAACAAAAACAAAAACAAAAACAGAAAAGGAATTTGAACAGGAGTATGAAACATGACACAGAGCAAATATCAAGAAAAAAACTTACTTTTGAGAATTTATGGCTGAATGTAACATTGAGTCAGAAAGAAGATTCGATGTTTGAACCCCTACACCTCCATTTACTCCCATAGGACTAGCACCTAGGACAAAACAAAAAACGAGATTGAATATTTTAAATACCAATACCAAAAAGAAAGAAAAGCTATAAAAGTACTAGAAGAACTTATCACAAGAAATTTGTATCCTTTCAAAGACCCAAAACCCAGAAGCCATAAGGACAAGATTTAGAAACTGGATGAGCAAAACCTAAAACCGCAACTGTTTAAGTAACTATATATGCACATGTCCTTTCTTAAGCACAACTTACGCGAGGACATAGGGAACCTAAGTGCGATGATCCCTGGAGACTGGAATCAAAGACTGTGTTTTGGTAAAACATTTTGAATACTCCTTCAAACTGCCCTGAATAGTTTTATGTGTGTACATTACCTCTTCAATTAGCAATTTTATTGAATAGTCTAATTCTTTACAAACAAAAAACAGCAATATTGACACTAACCTAGATTTTCATGGGTTAAAAAACTCTTCTAAAATACACAATTCTATTAATATACCTCTCAAGGTATGTTAGTTAAAAACAAGGAAACAAACAAAACTTCCCACTAAAATGCCAACAGTTGGCTAGATCTATAAACATTTAATGGAGAAAAATGCTGTTGCTTTCCTTCACGTTTCCTAAATAGTAAGGCACAAATTTGCTTCTGACAGCATCAGCCTAGCTCTGAAATGTAGTTACTGGAAATGGTCTTCTAAAAACAGAATTGTATTGTTCCTAATTCTGTATTTGTCAATGTAAATACTCCATGTGTAAACACTCCTTTTTAGCGAAACTATATACCTATAACATTGATTCGCTTTACTGATGGCAACCATATGAAGAGGTGAAAGAAAAACTGATTATAATGTACACCAATTTGCTTATCTCGTTGCCTTCTGATGGCACATGAAAACAGCAAAACATTCTCTCTGAAGTCTCCAGGTTCATCTAATATTTGGCATTGACTCTAAGAAATGGCTCAACCATAACCTGAAAAGGAATACCCTTACACCGGCCTGTATTTAAGATCCTAAGAGGGAGCATTCCCTTGAGAATACAAAAAATGACGGAAGTCAGAAATTATTGGCACTGCCAGAGAAGAAGTCAGAAAGAAAAAAAAGGAATCATTAACACCTAAAACTCATCAAGAATACATTTTTGGGGGTGCCTGGATGGCTCAAGTCAGTTAAGTGTCCGACTCTTGATTTTGGCTCAGGTCATGATCTCGGCTCAGGTCATGATCTCATGGTTCGTGAGTTCAAATCCCACGAGCCCGGGAGTCTGTGCTAAAGGCACAGAGACTGCTTGGGATTTTCTCCCTGCCCTCCCCTGCCACTCTTAAAATAAACAAACTTAGGGGAAAAAACACGTGTTTTTTGTTTTCTAAGCCCTAGGAGGAATCTCATACTAATAAGACCTTTATAGAGTAGGTGAATTCAGTAGGTACTAGAAGATTAAGAACATGGTCAAAAACAGTCAAGGAAGTCTTACAGTAAAAAATTCTAATTTAGGGCTCCAGAAAGGATTCTCTCTTCTTGCTACAGAATCTCTATAACCTGATATATGTTAACAGATCCTGTAGTTCTGTCTACTTAATGCCCATCCAAACTAGAGAGGTCTCAAAGTAGAGGCCATGCCCCTTTCCTATGCCCACCCCCGCCCCCAGCACATGGCATATCTGAATGAATGCTATTTCTCATTTATTCAAATATCCGCATCAAAGTACCTCCAATTTATAACTGAGAACGTTCCAGCATTACAGCTAGGTCTGCCACAATGGGTGTTGTATCCATACTACCAAGTTGTTACTATGAATGGGTCTTGGTATGCTTATAAGCATTAGTATAAATGTTTGCTTAGGGTACTTCATCCTATTCAGTACTCCACACCTCAGGTAAAGATGGTATGATACAGACCCATTAACATAAATACTACTTTTTCTAAACATCCAACAACCTGGGAAAACAAACTAGCACTCATATCTACCAAACAGGTGAGATATGAGACCTTCAGAAGAGAGTACATAACAAAACCCAGGAGTTCTTGACAGTAATAGGGCCAGAATTTCCATAACATAGTTGAAAGATAGCTAACCAATAATGTGAAGGTCAGTAATAAAACAAGAGAATAGGCCAGCTAAAGGCAAATAAAAAACCCTAAGACATTTTTATGCTGAAATTATTAAAGCCTGATCACATACACACAACCATACATGGCATATTCATTCCAAGAGTGTTTAATCTGGATTTAATTATAAGGATCGCTTCTCAGCCTTTTGGCTAAGATCAAGTGTGGATTTAATTATAAGGAAACAATAAGACTAATTCAAATTATAGGACAATCTACAGTGTTCATCGAAAGTCAATGTGTGGTGAACAAAGAGAAGGAAGATGACTTCTAGATTAAGAGACAAAAAGCACGTAACAAACTGAATGGAAAAGCCCTGAATGACTGTGGGGGACAATTGGAGAAATTAAAATATAGACTGTACATTAGATGACATTATTAACAAATATTAAATTGTGTAGGCACAGTAACAGCACTGTGGTTATGGAGAAGAATGTCCTTATTCTTAGGAAATACATGCTAAACTAGCAGTCAAGTGTCAGGATATCTCGAGTACATGAAGAAATAAAGCAAATGTGGCAAAAATGTTGAAAATAAATAAATCTAGGTAAAAGGTATGCATAATGAACCAGAATCAAGACTTGGATTTCAACCAACTGAGCCACCCAGGCACGCCACAAAAAGTGTTATTATGTTCCAAATTTCCTGACGAAGTTTTCCCCTCAATTTCTAATTATATATCCAATCTGCCCTCTTGGTAGGATCCCCAACAATACTTTAGCATTAAAATTATATGGGTGAGGGCACCTGGGTGGCTCAGTCAGTTAAGCGTCCAACTCTTGGTTTCGGCTAAGGTCATGATCTCGCTCACAGTTTCGTGGGTTCAAGCCCTGCAATGGGCTCTACACTGGCAGCATGGAGCCCGTTTGGGATTCTCTCTGCCCCTCCCCACTCATGCTCTGTCTCTCTCAAAAATAAATAAACAGGGGTGCCTGGGTGGCTCTGTGAAGCGTCTGACTTCAGCTTAGGTCATAATCTCACAGTTCATGGGATGGAGCCTGATGTGGGGCTCCATGCTAATGGCATGGAGCATAGAACTTGCTTCAGATACTGTGTCTCCCTCTCTCTCTGCCCCTCTCTTGCTTGTGCTCTCTTTTGAAAATAAATAAATGAACTTATTTAAAGTTCATTTAGATAAATGAAAATAAATAAATGAACTTAAAAAAAACGTATGTGTGTGTATATATATGTGTGTGTATGTATATATATATATATGTATATACACGTTTGTGTGTGTGCGCGTATATATATATATATATATGTATATATATATATATATATATATATATATATATAGCACTAACCATTTGGGAGTCCAATCTTTGCAAAACATAAAAGATAAACATTTTACGTTGCTGAGTACATGGAAATATACTCAAGTAAATTGCTTTTGTTTACAAATGTGATAAAAATCTTACACTGCTAGGGGACACAACATAGTCCCGTTTGTGGATATAGTCTACCACATCAGGTTGGAACCTAAAATATCCTAAAATAAACACCATTAGTGGAAGAAAACAGAAGTGAAAAAAGCTTGTTTTAGTATTTTAAAATCATGACACATCAAAAATTAAGAAAATACAGTTAACGCTAATTTGAGTATTGAACCATGTATTTCTTTGATAATATGGCACTAGGCTAAGGCCAAGATGCAACTTGAGTTACATTTCTGATCATCATCAAAATTTTTATATTCCTAAGTAAAATCCATTATAAAACTCTAATAATAACAGAAGCCTTAAAGGATCACTTTATAAATTTTTTTTTTTTCAACGTTTATTTTTGGGACAGAGAGAGACAGAGCATGAACGGGGGAGGGGCAGAGAGAGAGGGAGACACAGATTCGGAAACAGGCTCCAGGCTCTGAGCCATCAGCCCAGAGCCCGACGCGGGGCTCGAACTCAAGGACCGCGAGATCATGACCTGGCTGAAGTCGGACGCTTAACCGACTGCGCCACCCAGGCGCCCCTAAGATCACTTTAAATACCCAATAAAACAATTTATAGTAATAACCTTTAGTGCAAACATCACTCACAAGTATAAAGTTTGGTTAAAACTAATTTCATACGATTTTGGTGTGAAGTGAAAAAGCAGTCCCACATTCATAATATGCAATAAAATACTTTTTTAAAACTCTCTTAAAGACTGGGGAGAAAATTACATGTCCTAATCATGGTGATTCCATTTTGATATTCAGTTCTTTTACTCTCTAAGTTTTAGGGAACTCAAAAATATGAAAACAGAGGGCGCACCCTTCAACATAAACACACAAGATTATTAAAAAAAAATTTTTTTTAGTGTTTATTTTTGAGAAAAGAGAGAGAGAGAGAGAGAGAGAGCAAGGGAGGGGCAGAGAGAGAGGGGGAGACACAGAATCCGAAGCAGGCTCCAGGCTCTGAGCTGTCAGCACAGAGCCTGATGCGGGGTTGAACCCACAAACTGTGAGATTATGACCTGAGCTGAAGTCGGATGCTTAACCGACTGAGCCACACAGGCACCCCACAAGATTATTTTTAAAAGGGCTTTTATATATGGGGCGCCTGGGTGGCTTGGTAGGTTAAGCATCCAACTTGATTGACTGATTTCAGCTCAAGTCATGATCTCACGGTCTGTGAGTTTGTGCCCCATACTGGGCTCTGTGCTGACAGTGCAGAGGTGGCTTGGGATTCTCTAGTTTCCTATATCCCTCTGTCTCTCTGCCTCTACCCTACTGATGGGCGCTCGCTTGCTTGCTCTTTCAAAAATAAATAAAAAATAAATAAAAATAACATAAATAAAAGGGCTTTCATATGAAAGAAAAAACACTTCATATGTAAGTCTTTGCCTATCTGGGTTGGGCCTGATGAATAGAAAGCATGAGGCTATATATAACATGCCAGAAAGAGAGTGTATTCATATTAGTTTTTAATATGCGATTGAATACAACAAAAGAAATAAATGAGGTATCTAGAAGTTTTGGTTCACAATGATTATCACTAAAAAGGCACCACTGATTGAATTAACAAGAAATAAATGGAAACTTTAGATTAATTTTTAATCCTAAAATAAAGACACAAAAAAAGGGAAAAAGATATCTCAAGAAACTAACTTTTAAACAATTTTGTGGCTATATACAAATGTACATACACAGATGATACAAAGGAGACAAAAAGAACAAAATTAGGAATTAAAACAGAAGTTTGAAAAATTAACAGGAAATAACCAGTTACAAAAATGAAAATCCAGGGGTAGAAAACTGCACTGGGTCAAGATCCTAAAACTCAAGGAAGAGTCTGGGTAACTTTTTGGGTAACACGGAAAGAGAGAAGAAAATAAGCAATCTTAAGTAAAAAAAAGGTGAAGGGGCAGGGGAAGGAAGTCCTCAGATCTCTATTTTTGACCCCTTTTCATGTACTTGAATACGTAAGAATTTGAAAACTAGCCTGAAAGGGTAGGATTAGCTCTTCATCCCAGTTTCTGGTCTAGTTTTTTAATAATCTCCTCACTCAATGATTATTTAACAAGTTAGCACTGCTTGTCAAGAAACTGTAATACATTCAAGTTAAAACCAACAAAAATCAACAAGATTACATTTCTGTAAGAGTAGCACGCTCAATTTTGCTTTCTCATTTAGAATCAAACAATAATGGGCAGAAACTAAAGGCTATTGCAAATATTATCCAGAGGATGACAATGGACTTCATAGGAAAAAGTATGATGCATTACTCAGTACCAGACTGTTTTCTAGAAAGTTATGGAAGAAATCATCAACAAGGACAAGCAGCTGCCTCTGGTATATAGATTATGATGAGACCTTTACACTACAATCTTTAAAAAATTACTCCAAGAAATTAATCATGTAACAAAAAAATTAAGAGATGGGGAGACACACACACACACACAGACCAAAATAAACCAAGAAGATAATTCTGCAAATTACATGGCATGTATACACATAACCAACATCACATCTGTCACAAGGGAAGACACAAACTTACTCATGTTGCTCATGGGCCGCATGCCTTGGGGAGACTGGCCAGACTGCTGAGTCTGCTGGTTCTTTGCTTGCACCTGGGGTTGCGTCGGCATCTGATTTACTTGATAGGGCAGCCCAAGAGCTGCATAGGCCCTTTCTATAGAGCTGGGATCAATCTGACTGACAGTGCTTAGGCTGGGGGTAGACTGCTGACCCACCCCTAGAGAGCTAGTATTTCCAAGTCCAACTGGTGCTCCAGTCAGAATTGCTAGAGAAGACAAAAGAGATGGGATTACAACGTTAAAGATGTGAGAAAAATAGACTAACCTATCTGAATGAATTTAGAAGACACAAAATTGTTACGTGATTATGAAACATCTCATTATGAAACAACATGCATCTTGTTTCCTGTTATTTCCCTGAAATAAATGTCTAGATGCAGAACTGAATGGTCAAAGGGGATCACTATCACTGGCATGAAAGGCTTTTGATCCAGAGTACCCAAAAGCCTACCTACAGGCTGTATCAGTGTTCCCACCAACTATGTATGAATGACTCAGAACCATACAAATGCCAATACCAGGTAGCATTTCTGCTCAAGTGGTGAGAATGTCCTCCCTCTACTGACCTATTTCCTTACCCCAATTTTCTACTGGGCTATTTATGATTTCTTAATTAATTTATGGCATTTAATTCCTTCTTCACATGTTGCACGTTTCCAAATCTGTCATTCACCACAAATGCTTAATATTTTGTTTCTAGAGAGGTATGGTAGCTACACTTAGATCTTTCTACTTTTGTCTTTATCTCAGAAAAGCTCATCATCCTAGACTTCTAAAAATAATTTCAAACTTTTTCCCTTTCTCTTTAAATAACTTCAAAGTATCTAAATATTTATACCACAGGTATAAAAGAGTAACTTGCCCAATGTCAAAGCAATGATCTTTTAAGCTTTCATGAATGTAAAAATGGAGCATTAATTCACCCTTTTTATACAGAATAATTATTTAAAAAGTTTCTGGATCTTACTTTAGGTAATAAGCAGTTCAATCCTAAACTCATTAATATGAAGTTAATGGGAGTGGAAACAACCTAGTATGACAGCACAGGGCAGTCACAGAACTTCAAATAATCAAGAAGCACTTAGTCTAAATCCCACCAAACTGCACCGAGAATAAATAAAATAATAAATAAATAAAATAAGTAATAAATAAATAAAAGCTTTAAAAGACTTAATCGCTTACACTGTTGATTTCTCTTATCTCCAGCATTTTTAAGGGGGAGACACACAGGACAATCATGCCTCGTACAATTCTTCCAGTGTGAAATGATTTGTCGAGAAGATGCACAGTGTGCCACTAAAAAGAAAAAAAATAATTGTTCTGCAAATGTAGCTTATACTTTTTTATATCAGTATCCACTAACCTGTTGATCACTTAACAAGTGCTACAAATGTTCACTCATTTCATCTTCCTAACATCCCTATAGGGTAGCTATTGGCACTCACATTTTATAGTTAAGAAAACAGGCAAGACCTGGTTAACTAATTTGCATTAAGTCAGAGTACTCAAAATGGGATTCAAACTTAAGCAATCTGCCTCCAAAGCCCGTATTTTTCACCAAGACATGCAATGTACTTTACTCTATAAAAACAGATTTCTTTTTTTTAAAAATTTTTTTTTCAACGTTTATTTATTTTTTGGGACAGAGAGAGACAGAGCATGAATGGGGGAGGGGCAGAGAGAGAGGGAGACACAGAATCAGAAACAGGCTCCAGGCTCTGAGCCATTAGCCCAGAGCCTGACGCGGGGCTCGAACTCACAGACCGTGAGATCATGACCTGGCTGAAGTCGGACGCTCAACCGACTGCGCCACCCAGGCGCCCCTATAAAAACATTTTTAAAAAGAGGTGAAACATAATACTTAGCCTCGGTACTGCGAACTTGTACATCTAACTGAATTTTTAACATCTCCAGTTGGACATACAAATGGCGTCTCAAACTTGGATTGTCCACAATAGATCTCTTGTTGCTGTCAGGAAAATTTGTGAAAGGACTGGAAAAGGGCAAGAAGATTATTAGCACACTCTTCTGGGTTATCTGTGCCTTTCATTACTTTTTAGTTATTTCACAGCTCTGTAAATTAACTGCAAGGAATGCAGATTATTCTTGTCCATAGAAATGCAAATGGATTTTACTTGGAGTTACAATTGGTTTCCTTCATCAAGAAGCCAGTTAAAAAAAAAAAAAAAAAA